CTGCCCGCGCTCACCTGCCCGCGCTCACCTGCCCGTGCTCACCTGCGCAGTTCATTGGCGCGGGGCAGAGTCTGAGCGACCCACGGGGACTGGTGCTGCTGCCTGCTCCGGCTCCGTGGCCAGGCTGAGCCTCTGCCCCAGCGGCAGCCAAGGGATGAGGCGGGAGATGCTGGCAGCTGCCTCCCCTTCCCATTCCCGTCCCCATTCCCATCCTCATCCCCATCCTCATCCCCATTCCCATTCCCCATCCCCATTCCTGTCCCCATTCCCATTCCCATCCCTGTTGCCATTCCCATCCCCATTCCCATCCCCATTCCTGTCCCCATTCCCGTCCCCATTCCCCATCCCCATTCCTATTCCCCATCCCCATTCCTGTCCCCATTCCCATCCCCATTCCTACCCCCATTCCCCATCCCCATTCCTGTCCCCATTCCCATCCCCATTCCCATCCCCATCCCCATTCCTATTCCCATTCCCATCCCCATTCCCTTGCTGTGCCATGGGGGTCCCTGGGGGCTGGTCGGACCCCACCGCACACCTGGCAGGGGCGGGTGCTGGGGAGGAAGGGGTTAAGCGGCGGCAGGAATCCGAGGATTACAGGTTTGTGTCCGGACTGTCCCATCTGTCAGCAGCACAAAGACGAGCCCTGTGTCGGGCTGTGCTGTCAGCGAGGAGCACACCACTACATTAGGACTCCATTAGGGGAGGCTGGTGCTGGGAAATGGCAGCTGTCAGGACACTATCATTTCTCCTGTAATTCCTCCTGCTCCTTTCTCAACTGCACTTAAATAGCAGCTCTACCCACTGGGCCAATTTTGCATTTTCGTCCTCCCCGCTGCTCCTCTTCTTTCTTTAAAGCTGCAGCTCCCTGGGCCCCTTCCCTGCAGCCTGCTGGTGCCAGTGCCAGTGCTGCCTGTGCCTGGCCATGGCATCTGCACCGGGAGGAGGGCTCAGGAGCATCAGCAGCATCCTCACTGTGGAGCCACAGCAATGCCAGCCTGGTCTGAGATGGAAAGTCACTGGCACAGGGAGGAGAGGAGGTGGATCCCCATCTCCAAGGATGGTCCTTCCCTTCTCCCATCGTCTTGGGCTGTCTCTGGGCTGGAGGATGTTGCCCAGGCTGTGCTGCCCTTGTACAGCTGGCTGGCTGCTGATGCAGGCCTAGCCCTGCTCTGCAAACTGGGACAGGGTGGGCAGAAAAACGTGTGGTGAATGGGGCTGGGGACTACGACCAGTGGTGTGGGCTGTGTCAGAACAGAGTTTCTCCTTCCAGCCACAAAACCTGTCCAATCTTTCAGCGTTTGGCAGAAGCTCCTGGGTCACACTGCCTGCCACATCAGGGTGGGATGATGCCCTGGCGCCAGGGGACCCAGAGATAAAACCACGGACAGACGGATTTCCTGATGGGACAAAATCACCTGGAAACTCTCAGCACCTGCAGAAAAGCAGCTCAGCATGGTGGGGGACCGTGCTGGGGGTCTCTGTGCTCACAGCTTTCCTGGGAATCCCTGGATCTTCCCACACCCTGCCCTGCCCTCACCGCATCTCCAGCCGGACCCGGCGCTCCCCGTGGAGCCTCCTTTTCCAGCAGGGGATCAAAACAAACACTCGTGTGGGGAAGTGCATTGCAGTGGTGCTCGAAATAAATAACTAATTTCTCCCTACATGATCTCAAGGAGCAGGAGAGGTGTGAATAGCAGGGCCTGGTGTCGGGCTGACTGGACTCCCCGGGGCGGTAATTCAGAGGATGACAAACATAAGCCAAAGAAAAATGTTGAAAAATGGGCACTTCCCGCAGCCCTGAGCAAAGGAGCTATTGCAGGGTTTGGAAATAACGAAGGCAAAGAGAGGGAGAGAGGGGAATTTTCTCATTGAGACCAAGTGAAGTGCCAAACAAGCTGCTATTATGGTGGCTTTGAGAGGCACAGGGAGGGGGTGGTGGGGAGGAGAGTAGGGGGAAGGAGAGGAGGGAGGTGGGGGAGAAGAGAGGGAGAGAGGGCTGGAGGAAGGGAGAAGAGTGGGGGCTCTGGGGGAGAAGGGGATGCAAGGAGCCAAAGGTGTGAGGTGACACAGGGGAGATGGAGAGAGGACCAAGGTTTGTGATGGTGGCAGGGCCACCACATGCCAGCACCCCACCCCTCACCCCCATCCTCATTCCCAGCCACCTTCTACCCCCTACAACCACCACCACCACCACAAGGGAGGAAAAAAAAAAAAAAAAGAGAAAAAAAGAGATGGAAAGAAGGAAAGAAGGAAAACAAAATATCTACAGTTGTCGAGACAAGGGGAGAAAAATAGAGGCAAACATCCATAATTTTCTCTGTGGGGCTTTGCAGTAATTGAGCCATTTGGATAAAAATAAAGGCAGCAGGCCCTTTAGGTAAGAGGAGCTTTTGCAATCCAAGAAGCCTGAATTATGCGTCTTGTATCACTTGAAACCCCCCAGCACATCACCCCCCTTCTGCCTCCCCCGTGCGACACCAAACCACTTTCCCTTTTCTTCTTCTTCTCCTTTTTTTTTTTCTTTTTTTTTTTTTTTCCCCTTCCCTCCTCCTTTTTTAAGTACCCTGTCAAACAGCATCCGATGAGTGGAGAATTTCAGCTGTCACAACTAATTTCAGTGTGTGTGTGCAAAGGTGTGTGTGTGCCTCGAGAGGGGGGAGCTGGGGGATGCAGCCGTAGAATCACTCCCTTGCTTTTTTTTATTTTTTTTATTTTATTTTTTTATTCCTCAAAAGGAAGATTTACATCAGAAATTTGTTTCTGGAAGTGTTTAAGGCCTGTAATTTCCCTCTTTTCAATCACTGCCTGATGTCTTCCTCTTGCCAGCTCCAGTGCTGAGGCTGGCTGTCACCCTCCCAGCAGCCTGGTCCTTCAGCTGCTCCTGTCCAGTGCCAAGGGGGATTTTCCATCTCTTACCAGGGCTTGAGGATCCCAAAATTCAGCTCTCACAGCCCTGGGCACCACTCTGGGTCTGGTGGGGAAGGTTCCAGCTCCTCCCTGCCTGTGTCCCAGTGCTGGTGGCTTTATGCTTCAGGTTGGGTCACCTTTGTAGCCACTTTGAGATTGGCATTAGCTGGGGGCTCACAGGGTGGATCCTGCTCAGAACAGGGCACCCCTGAGAGCCAAGTGGGGCTGTTGGGGTGATCCCCCACCCAGGATATGCCTGGGGAAAAAGGGCAGCTGGGGAGAGGCTGGTGCTGAGCACATTGCCAGAGTTAGGAGGGGAAAATTCCCTGAATCCAAAGTCTTTGGGTGTTCCCAAGAGAGGAGGAAGCAAAGCCCTGGGCATGGCTGGAGATGTTGCCTCCATCACGTTCAGAAGATGATGGGGTGGCTGTGGTGATCATCTCAGGTGAGGAGGTGCTCCAGGCCAGGCTGGATGGAGCTCTGAACCACCTGGTCTAATGGGAGGTGTCTAATGGGTGGAATCAGCAGAGCCCAAACCATTCTGTGGTTAAAATCCTTCCCCCATGGACTGTGTCCATTTTCCTAAAACAAATGGGCTTTTTGCTTAAAATGACCCCAGCTTCTGAGAGGAGAAAGGCTGGGGAGCAGCCAGCCCACTGCTGTGGGGACGTGACCAGAGCAGACTCTGCACCCCAGATCATTCCATCAGCTCAGCAATTCCTGCTCCTGTAGGCACAAATGGGATGCACAGAACTGGAAAGGGCAAGACCCAGCCAAGGAGGAGCACAGAGCTCTGTGGGACATCCCTCAGGTGTTGAATTTCCTACTCAGGGCTTTGGGAAATGGGCTGTGGGGTCAGTGAACCTTGGACTGCTCCAGTGTGCAAACCCAACCAGGAGCTGGGTGCAGGCTGCATTTTGGGAGGTATCACCCAAAAATGACCCTCACAAAAAGCAGCAGGAAGGGCTGTGTAGGGCCCTGCTCAAGGAACAAGCTTTGCATGTTCTTTGCATGAATCCTTGACTAACTGGTCCTTGCATCATCCCAGAGTCTCCTGCTGCTCCACTGTGGCAGGAGTGGGGGCTGGACCAGACCTGGGGGCACCTCCAGACCTCCCCAGAGCACCCCATGCCCAGAATCTTTGTGGAAAGCGTCACCAACACCATGGCAGTGTCCAGCCATGGCCATGAGAATCAGGAACCTCAAACACGTGGACCAAACCAGGCAGGGAATGGGTGCTGTGGGAGGCGTGTTCCAGGGAGGGGCTCAGTGAGGGCTCTGGTGGCACAGCCTGGCATGGGATGGCACAGCAGGCATGGGATGGCAGGGGCACAGAGAGGATTGCATGAGCAGGGAGAGGATGGCCACAGGTAGGGATGGAATGGCACAGGCAGGGGTGGGAGGGAATGGGCAGGGATGGGGTGGAATGGGCAGGGATGGGATGGGACTGGCAGGGCACGGAGTGCAGGCAGGGATGGGATGTGACAGGTGTGGATGGGATGGCACGGGCAGGAATGGGATGTGACAGGTGTGGATGGGATGGCACGGGCAGGAATGGGATGTGACAGGTGTGGATGGGATGGCACGGGCAGGAATGGGATGTGACAGGTGTGGATGGGATGGCACGGGCAGGAATGGGATGTCACAGGCGGGAACGGGCTGGCACAGGCGGGGAGGGGCTGTCAGGGGCAGAGCAGGGTCCGGGACAGCGGCGCTGCCGCTCCCAGCCCTGTCCCTGCCGTGTCCCTCTCGTGTCCCAGCCCTGTCCCCTCGGTGTCGCCCGCCGTGTCCCATCCCTGTCCCAGTCCTGTCCCCTCGGTGTTCCATCCTTGTCCCATCCCTGTCCCCCCTGTGTCCCCTCGGTGTCCCCAGGTCCATCCCGGGGGCGGTCCCGGGGGTCCCTGGGGGGCGTGGCCCGTCCTGACCCCGCCCCTCTCCCCCATCCCCACCCCACGGCGCGCGAGCGGCCCCGCCCCTCACCGCGAGCCCCCTCCCGGCCCCGCCCCTCTGGGGCACTTCCGGCGGAAGCGGGGGGCTCCTTCCCTTTCCGGGCGCGGGCCCCGGGCGGAGCGGCGGGACGGGCGCGGGCCATGGCGGAGCTGGCGCAGGGGCAGAGCCAGAGTGCGGCGCCCGTGGGGATCAAGCCCGAGGGGTTCGTGGACGCTCTGCACCGGGCTCGGCAGGTGAGGCGCCGGCCGGCGGGCCGGGGGCGGGCGGGAGGAGGCGCGGGGCGCCGCTAGGCCGCGGAGCGGAGGCGGGGCACGGCCGCGGCCCCGCTGCCCCTGTGCTGGGAGAGCGGAGCCCTGAGGGGGCGGCGGGGCTCTGACAGCCCGGCTGTGCTTGGTGCCAGGGCGGCAGCGCTGCTGTGCGGGAGGGGGCGGCCCCCAGGCTCTGGCCGGGCTGAGCCGGTGCCGGTTCGGGTCTCACACCGGCCAGGGAGCGGCAGCGGGGTGGGGAAGGGGCTGGGGTGGGTGTCCGTGAGGAGCGGCTGAGGGAGCTGGGGACACTCAGCCTGGAGAAGAGGAGGCTCGGGGGGACTTTGTCACAGTGTCACTCCCTGAAAGGAGGCTGTCCCCAGCTGGGGTCGGACTCATCTCCCAGACAACCAGCGACAAGACAAGAGCACTCAGTCTCAAGCCATGCCAGGGGAAGTTTGGGTTGGACATTGCATGGAGTTCCTTCACAGAAGGGTAATTAGACATCAGAATGGGCTGCCCATGGAGGTGGTGGAATCCTCATCCCTGGAGGGGTTTAAGGGAACCCTGGATATGGCACTCAGTGACATCCTCTGATGTACAAGGTGGTGATCAGCCTCAGGTTGGGCTCCATGGATCTTTTCCAAGCTAATTGATTCTGTGAATACAGACCTGGGCAGAGCAGGAGCTTGGCATTCCCTGCAGGGAGAGAGGCGGGGGCACTGAGGTGCTAAAATGGGAAATTTCAGTGAAAGTGCCCAGCCCTGCAGGAATCAACACCCTTGCCTTCAATACAGGGTATTCCAGGTGTTGGTGTGCTTCTTGGTTTGTGGAAAGGGGCTGCAGAACAAGGAGCTCATAGCATGGGTGCTGTGGCTGCTCTTCACATCTCCTGTTGCAGCTCTGCCTCGGGGGTTTTATCATCTCTGAGCAGGTTGCACTTGTGCTTAGTGGCTGCACATGAAGGAGCTGTGACACAGCTGAGTGCCAGAAGCAGCTGCTCCAAGACCCTGACTTTGTTCTCTCCAGGTGGGAGAAATCCCCTCCTGTTGCCCAGACTTTGTCATTTCACTGACAAACTTCTGACGGAGCTAAGCTGGACCCTAAGACCTCTCATGTGCTCTCTGTGGGTGCTGTCCCCTCACTCCCAGCTCACCTGAGGATCAGTGGGAGCCAGTCCCTGTTCTGTGCAGCCTGCAGTGACCTGCACAGAGGCACCTGGTGCTGTAGATCCACACCCTGCCCCTCCCTGGACACAGGAGCTGCTCTGGGGCCATTGATTTCCCTCTCAGCACAGGCTGGTGGGGTGTGAGCTGCTGCAGGGTGAGCCAGGCCTTGCTTCTTTCAGCCCCTGGGGAAGTGCCCTGTCCTTGAAATGTGGTGTCTGAGCAGCCAGACAGGGTTTTGTGCTTGATGCAGTTAAATTGAGAGGTGCTGCAGCTGCTTTTGTCTTGACCTGATTCTATCTTACTCATTGCAAAAAACATCTTATTTAAATATCTGATAATGCTGCCACCTGTTAGCAGTTGAACAACTCATTTATGTAAAATAAAATAATTATTTGCTGTTGAAGTGCAGGTGGTTGAAATTATTTTGTGTTTCAAGTCCAGAAGGGACCATGAAGTTGGTCAGGGGTCTGGAGCACCTGCCCTGTGGAGCCAGACTGAGAGAGCTGGGGCTGTTCATCCTGGAGAAGAGAAGGTGCAATGGGGACTCCACAGCATCCTCCAGGATCTGAAGGGGCTACAGGGAAGCTGCAGAGGGACTGGACTCTTCCATCAGGAGCTGTAGTGACAGGACAAGGGAGAATGGGCTCAGACTGAAAGAGGGAACATTTAGTAAAATATTAGGAAAAAATTCTTCCCTGTGAGGGTGGTGAGGCCCTGGCACAGGGTGCCCAGAGCAGCTGTGGCTGCCCCATCCCTGCAAGTGTCCAAGGCCAGGTTGGACAAGGCTTGGAGCTACCTGGGCTTAGTGGAAGGTGACCCTGAGGTGGAACTGGGTGAGCTTTGAGGTCCCTCCCACCCCAAACCCTTCTGTGTGTACCACTGGTGATCAGTCCCAGGATAAAGGGTGATGCCTCAGAGCATCCTGACCTCAAACAGCACAAACTGCAAATGGATCTGAGCTGGAGCTGCCTCACTGCTCTCATCATGTTTGTAGGGGGAGTCTGTGAGACCCCAGCCCCTGCCTGAGAGAGATGGAATTGTAAATAATTCTGTGGTCACTTACTTGATTTTGTTATTCTTAAGTTCATTATACTTGCTGCAATTATTCTGCACGTGCTGGGTTTCCATGAGCCCAAAACTGGAGGATTCCAGCAGCAGCCTTCTGGCTGTCTGAGCCTGGCAACAAGTGTGTTGGGAAATGTGGGCACTGCACGTGTTTGTGGGAGAGCAGTGTCCTACATTTTTGTGCAGTGAGTTGTTTGCTGCCTGTTGAAAATGATTTTTTTCTCTTAGGGTTTGTGGGATGAAAGGAGCTGTTGGAGGGCTGAAATGTTTCCTTCCCCTGTGAAAATACTTGATTTAATTGACTTCTGTAGAGGGTAAGAGAGCAGGTGGTCTTCTCTTGCACAGAACCAGATTGTCACTAGTGACTCGTTGCCAAATGTCACTGAAAATGCTCTTTATTGCTCAGGTGATGGATGTTTGCCTCAGCACCCAAGCAATCTGTGATGGAACTTCCTGGCTGAGAATCAGGGGAAAATGGAAAGCAGCTGCACCTAATATTTCTCTGGAGGTGATGGCAGAGCTTTCACCAAGGGTTTGGTGCTGTGTTTGCCTGAGCTGTTTGATCTGCTACAGCTTTTGGCCTTTTTGGAGTATTCCTTTTGCTCTAAGAGAATGAGGGAGCAGAGGAAAGAAGTTGAGGTTCTTACTTTGTCTTGGTCATCCCTGGCTTGATGTTTGAATCTTTCAAGGTTTTGTGTCCCATGTAAGACCAGGAATCAAATTTCCTAAATTCAGTTCTCCTGAGAGCCACAACCTTACAGTCAGGCTGTGGAATACAGAGCTTGATTCTGAATATCTAAACAAGGACATAACTTCAGGACAAGGAAGACTTCCCTGAGTCAAGGAAAGTGCATTCCTCAGGGCCACTGGGATGTGAGATGATTATGGGAATATAAAACAGAAACCTGGAATATATTTGAAAGAAATTACCTTGCATTGCTTTCAGCATTTCTGCTGGACTTGCCTGGATTTTTGTGGACTCTGAAATACGTGAGATTTATGAATAATTACTTTTTCAAGGCAGTTCTGGGACTTTGAAGTGCTCTGTCCTGCATCTTCTGCACCATGTCTCAAGTGGATTGGTGGCTCTTAGGTGGGGACAGGTCTGTGCAGCTGCTCCCAGGCAGGCTGGCTTTTCTGTGGCATTTTGGGGTGGGGAAAGAGAGAGAGAGGGTGTTTGCTCCCCTTTTGAATAGTGGGATCAGAAAATAAGCAGAGCTGCTTGTACTTTGGACTAAAATGAATTTCTCTCAGCCTGTCCTTAAGTTGTGTTCTTATTGACCAAACAGTGTCTTGCTGGGGGTTCTGGGAATGTCCTGGAGAGGAGAGGCTGAGGCTTGGTGGGCCTGTGATGTGCCATCCTGGCTACCTCAAAAATGGGGAATATCCTGAGACTGACTGGGAGTCAACAGGCTGTGTTTGAAATCCCTCTTTGTATCAGGCTCTAACTTTCATTTCTGTGGTGATGGAGGCGTCTTGGACAAACTTTTCTTTACCCTCTTGCAGAGTCCTTCCTCAGGTCATCCTCAAATAGATTCAGGCTTTGCCAATTACTCTGGTGTTTAGGAAAACCACCTGTGACAAGAAGCTTAAATGGTTGTGGGTGGTTTGATTGCTTTCTGCAGAGCTCTGGAGAAATGTCTGTCACCCCAGCTCAAGTGTTCTGCTGAGTGCATGGGAGGAGCAGCACCAGGACCAGAACAGTCTGAAGGGTCAGATGACAGTGCCTTATTGGGTTTTTTTATCCTGCTAATACCTAGAATTGGTGATTTTATCTGTTGCTGTTCTTTGCAGGGCACCATGGAGAGGTTTTTCCTAGAAGCTGGGCCTGTTCTCTTGAAAGCTGAATTCTGCAGATATTGGTGTTTGAGTGTGCCTAGCAAAGAAGCTCCATGTTTAGAAGTGGTTTTGTATTAGTCTGTATTTTGTATTGTCATTTTTCTGGCTGTTAAATGTATAGGAGAGCAGAAGTGCAAGGTGTAGGAAAACTTGTATCTCTCACACAGCTTCATGGATCAATTTGTTTTTCTTGGCTTTATCAGTGCAATTTGCAGCTGGGGCTTGTGTTTTCCTTTAAAGTCCTTGTTGGGAAAATTATTTTGGGGAATTTAGGTGCAGAAACAGTGATGCTTTTTCCCCAGTGTATTTCAGAGCTTGATGAAATGGATGCATTGGGTTTAAGGGGAAGAAAAAAGGAGGAAAAAAACCTGAGGCTGACATGGAGCAGGACAAAAGCAGTGGCTAACAGCAGTACATTACTCAAGGTCACTGAGGCAGATAAGGGCTGGGTCTGCTTGCTTTTGCCATGTCCTAATTTTTGTGCTTACTTCCCTGCTGCACTTGTCATAAAATCTGAGCTTCCCATTTTAAGTTGAACATGAGATGTTAAAATGTATTTTAGCTGCTACATGCACTTGAAAAGCTCAGCTTTTCATTTTGCAGGGTGCATTTTCCTGCTGTGGTGAGGTGGCACCGTTGTCTGCCTCTAATCCAGTGGCAGCTAGGAGGCTTTGGAGATAAGGGTACAAGTTTAAATAAAGGGAGAGGGGGGGGAAGGAAAATATCCTAAAAGCTGATAATGTAAAAATTGCTTTAACACTCTTGCTTTGCCCTTTACTTGGAGGATTCTGTGCTGGGGTGATCATTGTGTGCTCAGTGTGAGCAGGGGTTCACAAAGCTCCCCTGAGGTGGGAGGACACAGCCTTGGTGCCTGCAGGCTGGTCCTGAACACCTTTGTACTTCAGGCTGCCTTCCTTCCCTAAGCCAGCTTCTGCTGTCCACAGACTGGCTTTTTCTTTTCCTGGAGTGTGTGCTGAGTGATTTCACCTCTAAAGGATCATCCATAACTTGTAAGTCATGGTAAATAACCACTGACAGAAAGAGAGTTCTTGATTAGGGTGTTGAAATTAAATGTCCCAAAATATGTCAGGGTGTGTTATACCTAACGCTGTTCTTTTGGGTCTATGTTGTAAGTTACTGTATGAAAGCTGTTAATAGATTGCTGTAAAATATATTTTAAAATTTACATTTCAGCATTGAATAGTCAGAAAACATTTCTGCTCTTTGTATTTCATTGAAATTCTCTTCATCCTAAACATGAGGGGAAAGGGCAAAGGGCTGAATCCATGGGTGCAGTACAACATTTATCAAAAGAGTAAAGCATCACCTGGCCCTCCCTCCCTCCCTCCTGGAAAGCACAAGGTGTGTTAATACTTTCAGAACCACCTGTCTGGGGACTTACTGGATATGTTGGTGTACAAAATGCTTGTCATGAAAGCTGCACTACAGGATTGCAGCTGGTACCAGTGGAAGATTTTATTCTCTAGCTCTGACATTTCTGACACAGCAAAGTTTCTGACTTTGCAAAAGGAGACAAGACAGAATGGACTATAAAGAGAAAATGGTCTAAACTTGGGGCCCTTTTCATGGAAGGCATTGAACAGAATGTTTCCTATTCTCTTTCTAAAAGCAGTACCCTCAATCTTTCAAGATTATTTCAAATAGGTTTTTTCCAGTACCCTGTGGTTCTGCATCTTGGGCAATTGTTTGTTCCACTGCAGCAGAAGATAGTGTCAACAACCAGAGCTGCTGTAGATGTCTTTCTGTTGCAGTGAAATGCAAATTTTAGAAATCTTTAGATATGCTGGTCATTAGAAACATCTCTGTGTAAAATGCTCTTTCATCTGCTCCTGTTCCTTATTCCCTGCTGAAATCCAGTTATAATGGAGTGTGATCAGTCTCTTGGTAAAGATTTGATTAAATGATTTTATTTTGGCTGGAAAAGGCAGCAAGTGCTGTAGCATATATTGTACATGATATTTGTTCTGTAACTGCTTTGTTCTGTGCCTGCTTATTACAGCCAAATACTTTCTGTAGGCAAAGGGAGCTGTGACAGGGCAGTTTGTCTGTCCTGGGAGGGTGTAATGGGGTGCAGCACCCAGGGAATGCACCTGGCTGCTTCTGGGGTGGGTTTCACCAGTTAGCTCAGAGAGCAGCTGGAAGGAAGAGCTTGTGTAGTCAGCTGTCCCCCAAATGTCACTGGAGATGAGCTTTGCTTTCCACTTGCATTCAGTGATGTTTAGGTGTGTGTCTCAGTTTATTTGCTTACCTTAGTCCCCTTGCTGTGATACCTGCCTGTATCCTCTTTCCTGTGAATAAACTCCTTGTATCCTGGCTCAGCAGGGAATGGCAGTTTCCCCTCTGCAAGGCTTGGAAGCAGAGGCACAGGCAGCATTAGCTGTGTTTGTGCTGTACTGACCACTGCAGGAAATGGAAACTAGTTCTGGACTGATAGTTTGCCCACTGGCTTATTCCTCACACAGTAAACAAGAGTGCTCCAGTGCCTTTGACAGGGAGTTCCCAAACCTGTCCTTGTGCTGTGTGTTTGCACTCTCTGCCTCTGCTCCCCCACAGATGTGTGAGTGTGCATTTCTGTGTGCCTGGACCTGCATGGATGCAGGAGGAAGCACATGTCCTCCCACCCAGCTTCTCCAGGACAGAGCTGGGGGGTTAGCTTGAACCCTCCTCTTAGCAAGATTTCTCTTGTCAGCTATCCATGGAGCAAATAATCCTGAATGTAATGTTCCAGGGCTACTTATGATCAGGAAGAGGAACTGGGTGAATATGATCTTAACTAAGCAAATATTAAAAGCAAGCAGAAAATTGTTTGCTCTACAAATGAAGCACCTTGTTACAAATCCAGCTACATAGTAACTACCTGAGAGAAGATTGGCCTGGGGTCAAAGCTTTATTGGGAAGAACAGTGTTTAGTTGTGGTGGCTGATAATGCTTTTATCTCCTTTTTATAGATTGCTGCTAAAATTGGAGATATTCCTCACTTGAATAATTCTACAACACTTGTGGACCCATCAGTCTACGGTTATGGAGTGCAGAAAAGGCCCCTGGATGATGGAGGTAAGCTGGCTATGATTACTCAGTCTTGTGGATGCAGCTCCTGAAATTCACCTATGAAGGCAGTTGTTTGTTTTAAGGATGGAAAATGCAGCTTTCTGTGTGTAGAAATTTTAAACAAGATGCACTGTGCTGTTTACCCTTACCTAGATTGCACAGTGTTCTTAGGCACTGGTATTAATGTGAAGCAATTCTTTGTTAGTTCATCACCTTTGGGAATCAGCAAACAAACTGTGTCATTTCAGTCTTGGGCTGTGGTAGTTGAGGGAGGGAGGAGGATTTTTTCATTGGGCCTGTTCTGGAACCCACATAGAGAGCACCAGGTGTACACAGTGCATGTTCTTCCCTGGTGGCCCTTCTTTTCTGAGAGCAGGTCATGTGTAGGGACAGCATTACACATGTTCCTTTCCACCTGTGGCAATAATCACAGCCCAGGAGCTGAGTTGCTGTCAAGTTCTGGTTGCTTTTTACTTGACTTTTAAGGAGAAAAGGTATTTATGTAAGGTGATGCAAGTTGGAAGGAAACCTCCTGTATTAGCTTAGCTTTCTCTATTATTATTTGAGAATTCTGAAATCTCTGAAGAATTTAAAATTGGCCATAGCCAAAGGATAGTTTATTGCATGGAGCATAACTGGTAACTGTTGTAAGTCAATATTGTATGAATTGTTACAATTTTAAAATAAGCCACTAGTTTCTTACCTTTATTAGAAAAAGAGTTCTAACAAAAATGTTAGATAAGAGTTTTTTAGGTTTTAGACATCTAATGATATGCATGGTTACAAGTGTTTAAACTGTATTATCTGCTGCTGTACAGATGCAAAGAGCTCACCTTTTCCTGTGAAGAAATAAAAAGCATGGCTATATCTTCCTTTTTGCTATTTCCTCTGGTGTTTTTCGTGACACTCAGAGCCCTGCAGGGTGATTCTCTCCCCCATGAACATGTTCAGGAGTACTGAGGAGATAAGCCAAGCTGCTGCCTAGCACTTCATTTTGAAAAGAATTTTTTTCTGTCTGATACAAAGGCTGAAAATAGCTGCATGTCTGCTCCTCAGTCTGAAAAAACATGCTGCTGCATGGGTAGAAGATTCTTTCATGTGGAGCCTCTGGCTTGCTAACATTACTGTTTTCTGAACACATGCCACCACCCACTTCTGTTCCCTGCTCTTGGCTCCATTTGAGCAATAGGTTGCTGCTGCTCCTTTGGTTTGGGGTTTCAGGAGAGAATGGATTTATCTGGGTGAGCCCCCATATTTTGTATCTTTGTTGAGAAGCCAGAGGTCTGGCATTGCTGGTGTGGGCTGGTTCTGCAGGGGAAGGTGCTGGGCAGTGTTGGGGAATGCTGAACAGCTCTGAGCTTAGGGATGTGGCTGTGTGTGAAAAGGAGTAAAAATAGCCCTCTGGGAACCTGTCATTCACAACATTTACCCTGCCTGTGTTTTTCATTGATTGATCAGACTAGAGATCTGACCTCCTGACAAAATGAGTTTTAGGAGCTTGTAACACGTGAGCTGGTTGTAGTGTTTCAGTGACAGGTTGGACTTTGTACTTAAACTTGTACTGGGAGCCCTAGAACGTGGTGAGCCTTGTTTGTGTTGACACAGAGCCTGTCAATACAGTAGCAGTCTGGGCTAGAAAAGTGCATTGCTGCTGGTTTCTTGTGCTCTGCACATAACTCCAGGGAGTGGATGTTGTTCCTGGGAGAGCCTCCCAGGGTGGCTATTCCTGACTCCTGCATCAGCAGTTGTTCTGCTCACCCTGTCCTCAGCACTGGACCTTGTTTGTAATTGTTTTTAAATGCTGTGTTTGCCCTTGGGTTGTTCATACACATCTGTATATAGCTTTGTCCAACTCCCTTCCCAAAAATCTGGTCTGTGAGAAGATGAGAAATGACAGAAGTCCTATTTTAAAGGGCTGGAATTTGACAAAGAAGCAGGAATTGTCAGGGTTGTAGCACTTCTTTCAGCTTGGGTCATGTTGGGTTTTATTTCTAGTGGTGTTAGTGAGTCCTGTACTGAGATGCAGCTATGTGATGAGTTCCCCCCTACATGTGGGATCCTCCTGTGCTGTTCTTTACCTGCAGCCTGGCAAAGCAACTCCTGAAGCTGTGTGTGCTCCTTGCTCTGTATCTCTTTGTGGTGTGATCCATATTTTAGTCTTGGGCTACCTGCTCTTGCTGCTGTGTAATTAAATGTCTGTAATGCAGATTTAGCTTTAAACATCTGGAAGATGGAAGTTGCTTTTAATAGGACACTTAAATTAGGAAAGCATTTCCTATTTGGATGATTTTTTAGTTCTCTGTTAGCTGCAAACAAGGGATGTTGGAATTTCATGCCCCCACTTGTCTCCATTTTGTGCTTGTCTGTGAAGCACAGTTTGGAGGTGTTGTTGTCAGGAAGTGATTATGTTGTTACACATGCTCCAGAAATGTTATAGTGCATTTTATAGTGGATTTGGATACATTCTACTGCTCTGGATGGGTTGGGAACAAATCTGGTGGGAAATTTCCCTGTATACTACATGCTCACAGCTGGGTGCAGGTCTCACTGCTTCCTTATCCCCATGCAGCTCTTGGAAAGTTATCTCTGTTCCTAATACTGCTGGAAAAATTGTCTGCAGAGGAAGTGTTTAAGGTGACAGGAGAACTGTCTGTCTTTCAGGACAATCTAATTCTTCCCATCTGTTTTTGTAAACAGCTGCTGCTGTGGCTGCCTGATGCCAGCTGAGGAAGTGGTCTTGAGACAGGTGTCAGTGTGTTCATCAAAACAAATTCAGCTGCTTTTCAAGCATTTCCAGGAAAAACAGATTTATTATGTCAGAAACCAGGATGTGTGAGTGCTTTCTGCACTTCCCTTAACATAACCCTCATCTGAACTGAGGAGCAGAAGGATCAGCCCTGGTAACCTGGCTCATTGGTGTTTGATGGACCTTGAGACTGATTGTTTCTCTTTTCCCTGGCTTCTTTTCTTCCCCCTTTCTGGAAACAACTTGAAAGTAATCCTGCCAACAGCTGTAGTGCAGGGAAGAGATCAGGTTTATTTGTACTGCTCCTGGGAAGTCACAGCTGGCATTTCTGTGGCCACTTGCAGGGGTTAATGTTTCTCAGTGAAGGGGAGCACTGGGGACAGGTGAGTCTGAGCTGCAGACAGACCTGGTGGCATCTTGCCTGTGGCTGCTGCTAGGACAGACCCCAGCCCACCTGTTAAGGGCCAACTGCTGCCCCTGGCCTCTATTCTAATTAAAGGGTCCCTCTAATTATCAGCACAGATTAATAAGTTTGTTTAATGCTAAATAACCTTTCAAGAAGCAGCCTCCTTTTGTTCAAAGGAAGCAGGGGTCTAGTCTGCTGCAAAGAGACTGATGGACAGAGCATTAGCCTTTGTTTGGGCTGCTTTAAAGGAGTGTCCTGTGAGATCCAGAGGATTAAGCAGCAGCATTACAGCTGAAGGCTGGGGCACCCTTTGAGTCTGGGAAAACAAAGGTGAGAGACCTTGGAGAAGCCTCACAGCCCCCTCTCTCCACTCCTCTCTCCTCCCAAAGCTGCTGTGGTACATCCAGATCTGGAGATCACCTGTTCTGGTGCAATAAAATTTGATTGTAGTAGAACCAAGGGCCCAAACACAACATGATCCTGCTGTACAGAGTACTTTATTCTTTCCCTCCAATGTGTTTTCAATGAAAATAGTGTTGGGCAGAAGGGAATTCTGTCCCTTACTGCTGATGGAAGTCAGTACTGATGCTCTGACACATCTGCAGCAGCAGTAGAACCAGGGCAAAAATCCAGATCTTTTGGCAAAAGATTTCATTTAATATACAAAATGCCACTGTTCCTAAATTGTAACTTTACAGATGGCCACTTTTTTAGATGAGGTGGTTTAAGGGAGGGGGAAGAAACCTCCAAAGATTTGCAGTGAAGTCACACACAAGAATTATTAGGGTTTGACTATTTAATTCAAGAAAAACCTATCAATATTTAATGATGGAGAATTAGGATAACAATCTTTGAAGCTTTCTAAAATTTATGATGATCCCATTTTGGCTCTAAAATATGAAAAGCAAAGCAGCCCTGTTCCACTGCTCTCAAGGAGATGTGTTGCTCTGATTTTATTCTAGCCATGAAGATATTCCTGAAGAGATTGTATATTCCCATCATGCACATTAATTTAGTGGGAGGCACTGCTCTGTTTTATGGGGTGGAAGAAAAATCCACATTTGTTTTGAGTGTCTGTTAGGTAGAATTCAGTTAAGGTGAAGCGTAAAGCAGATTGAAGAGTTATCAACCAGCAGGTGCCGTTAATAGGAAATTGTGCTGATTTTATTCAGTATTTTTCCTTATTTGCAATAAAATGACTGCAGTTACAGTTAAATTGTACTGAATAGATGTAAAAGGGGGAAATATGTATGTGGCTTGTCAGAGTTCAGCCCCCTCCTCGGTGTGAAGGGAGACAGTGGAATGGTGCATCAGCTTTCAGTATTGTGGCTGCCCCAGCCCTGCCTCTCTGTTAGTCCCTGTTTTTCAGAGAAAAATGGACATGTTGGAGAAGGAATGGACCTTTAGGTTGTTGGAACTGGGAGCCACATCATTTTTTCTCCCTCAAAACAGAGAGAAATCATAAATGACTTGAAGTAAATAATTTCCATTTCTCTCCATTTGCCTTCCATCTCAGTTTTTTGAGAAGTTATCTGTGAACTGTGGAAGGAATGGTCTCTCACATCATTTACTGTGGCATAATTTTTCCATACTAATTTGTCCAACAAACATGCATTAAGGCTGATACCTCCCTGTGGGGGTGGATGGCTTGCTCTGTTTGGATTCTGCTACTCAGAATGGGTTGGAGAGACATTGCTACCTGCATCTAAAGCATTAATTCCCTTACTGATTTCACTTCCTGTGCTGGTACAGGTTTCCCATCAGAAGTTGGCTTTTTCAAGTGTAGGATTGTGTTACAAAATGAAGGCTCTTCCCTTCCTTGCATGAACTTGGGGAGGTGATTATAGGATGTGTATCTGTCTCATAATTTGTGGGCAGTGGCTGCAGCGGAACAGATTGCTAAGAGAGCAGTTCTGGTGAATTGAAATGAGAAGTGGAGATTTAAATACAGCCTTTGCAGAGTTAAAACCACTCTTTCTGGCATCTTGATAATGAGTGGCCTTGGCTGTGGCAGCCCCACACTACACCAATACCACCAGACCTACTGCGTGGAGTTGAAATATTCTGAGTTTGGTTGTATTTGCTCAGCTTTGTGGTAGAAGCTTATCAGCCAGAGCAAATATTCCCCATTACATCACCCACCTTTTTCAACTGCAATATTCACAATTATCAAATTAGAGCTTTTCATATTCAAGGTGAAAATATGCAAAGACAAACTAAATGAGTCAATTAACACAGCAGTTGTCTTATGACTGAGCTGGAGAGAGTAATAAAACAGAAACATTGTCAATATTTTGGTCCTGAACTATCATGAAGGTATTGACACACAACAGAAATACACTATTGACTCTCTTTGTCTATTTTCTTTGAGTAAAGTGTTTGGCCACAAACTTGATGCATTTTTCTGCCAGATTTAGAGAGTGTGGGATGCATCCACTTTCTATCCCTGCCAGCTGATTGCCAATTTATTTCAGGTCAAAGAATGTGCAGCTTGCTGCAAGGTAGTCTGAAACAGCATCTTTATTCTCACAGCTCACATGTTGGCCAGTTTCATTTGTTTTGTTCTGTGCCCTCCAGGCATGCAATATAATCTTTCAACTGGTTGTTAGCACCAAATGGTCTGGGTTTTAGCTGGTTTGCTGCAGGCAAAGTCCAGTAGGAAGCCCAGCAGGGCTCGTGTTCCTACTTTGCATGAGTTGGTCTAATGATATTTTCCCCATTAACATTTGGAAGAAAGATCTAATCTGTTGGGGATGGGGGGAGAAGTCTGTCTCAGGGCTGTCAGTAGGGAGATAATTGCTAATCAGAGATGGACCACCAGCTAGCATGGCAGAAATTCCTGGAATGTGTTCAAGAACATGTGTTTTGTCAGGTTGAAACAGTGTTTGGGTGCCACGAGGTTACTTAACAGCCCTATTCCTTTAACAGGTCTCCGTGTAAGTGGGCTCCATGGAGCACAGATCAGAGACACTGAGAGAAGTATGTGCCAGCCCTGTCAATGCTTGGACTGAGGGAATCTCTGAGGCTGCTTGGCTTTTATTCTTGTTTATTAATGCACACTGGTTTCCTTCAGATTTCTCTCCCTCCTTCTCCCTCCCCCCCTTTTCCCTTTTTTTACTACTTTGGGTTTAATTTGGGAAGGGGGGAGGTTAGTTGCAGGGATTTGGATTTGGGCAGGCAGGATTTTCTCCCATGACTCTCAGCATGGGGAGACACGGATCAATTCCCTATCCTGTGTTCAGCTGGACACTGGGCTGTGGTGTGTGTTGATCAAGAAATCCCCTCCTGTTTTGTAGCACATAACGCATTCATTTCAGCCACTGAACCTAAATTACTGTTTTGCTTTTCTTTCTTTTTTGATGAAACGGTAAGAACTCTTTTTCTATAGGGATGAAGTTAGTTTATCCGTGCTAATGCTTTGATTTTTTTCCCTTTTTTCTCTCTCTGCCACAGTAGGTAACCAGTTAGGGGCCCTGGTACATCAAAGGTAAGCAGTGGGTTATGTTTTATTATTTATTGATCAATTCTAATTGTTTATTGATCCACCATCTGTAGTAGTGTTAGAAAGTCAGAGGTTGAGAATGTGGAAAAACTGTCAGCTTGGGTTTTCTACAGCCTGGGTTGTTTGTTCTGAAGAAAAAAGAGGAGTTGATGTGAAACTTGGATTTGGTCTCTGCAAATCTGCAGGACTGAAAAAAAGAAATTCTCTCTCCTTTCCCTTCCCCTGCCCTGGCAGGTGCAAGGCAGAAAAAGTGAGAAAAGATCTGGCATTTTGGTGAAAGGTGGAAGTATCAAACAGACACATGTTACTGTTGTTGTTATTTAGTTTTGTTGCTGTAAAATGACCTGGGATGGCTCCTTTGTCAAAGATGGTTTGGGAGGACTGAAGCAAGTATGAGTTGTCATCCAGCATGTCTCAGCATCCAACAAAAATGTAAAATTCTCAGTTTTTCTCAAATGCTGCTCTTGAGGAGTTTTCTGTGTTGTTTTGAAGGGAAGAACATTTCTAAAGCTGGATTAGCCTGAAGGTGAACAGTAGTGCATTTCCATCCTAACCAGCTGTTGGGGCCTCAGCAGAAGGACAAACAGTGTGCATGAAGGCAGTAGCACCTTAAATTTTTAATGGTTAGGTTAAAGCTAATGTCCTACTAGAGCATCCTAGAAAGGGATAGGCAGTTTTAGTACTTATCTGCAGCTTAGCTAATCAAGTCTAGCGTGTATTTTACACCTTTTCTAACTTATCTAAAGCAAAAAAATGGGAATATTTTAATATACCTCCCTACAAAAGTGGCATTGAACTTAACTATGCAGATGTTTTACTGCTTTTGAGATTGCTGAGCAAATTGTATATAATGCATATTTACAAATTCCACATTCTCATGGGGTTGTGTTTCCTGCAAGACAGAAAAAAGCTAAACAAAAGAACAATCCAAGTTAACTCCTTTCTACTTGACTATGGCCAGGTCTTAGGAAACTGCTTTGAGTGATTTGTTTTGAAGCAGATACATTGAAAATGCCCAAAGAGCAATAGGTATGGAAGTCTAGAGATACTAAGAATTCAGAGGATAATTGAAGACAATTTTATTAATTCCAAGGAAAAGAATGATAAGGACAAGCAGGTGAAAAAGAGTCCCAAACCACCAAAGCTGTGAATATCAGAAGGGGGATTTATGTCAGAGCTGGCTGTGGTTGGTGTCCCTGGGAAGAGAATATCCAGAAGCACTGGGCAGACACTGCTGCTTGGAAGGTCCAGGCTCAGTGATGAGGAAACTTTGTGCTTTTTTTGTTAAATCTGTCTGGAGCAAAAATGACAGAAGGAGCTTCTTCCATCAGCTCCATTCAAGAGACCAGAGACAGCCTGGAAATGGATCCAGCATAGGAGGAATTGTGTGACCATCAGAGGTCCCTTCCAAAACAAATAATTGTGACAGTGATGAGCTTTTACTTGTGTGTGCAGAGCCCCTGTGCTGAGCCCAGGCTCCATGGCAGGGCTGTGGTTTCTTCCAAATTGTTCTTTGTAATGACTTTGGGGTTTTCTTCCTTTTTCTTTTTTTTTTTAAGGGCTGTAATAACAGAAGAGTTCAAAGTGCCTGATAAAATGGTTGGATTTAGTAAGTACCTTGGATGCTTTTGATGCTTCTTGATGTGTTTCCTGTGCAGGAATGCTGTTGATTCTGACACAAGTTTTTGTGTTTATTAGCCTTGGATAAGCCTTGTTTAATGCTGTCTTCATGGGGAACAGAGGATCTGTGTTTAAAATCCAGATGCAGACTTCATGGAAAAGCTTGGTGTCCCAGTAATAAGAACAAGAATGTTTAGTACAAGTTACTGGGCATTTTAGTGATTTTCTCTTTTGAATTCCCATTAGCACAGTACATAAACAAGTCAAAAGTGACTTTATTTCCCTTCATTGCAACATTTTACTTTGAGTATGCAAAACTGTGAGAGTTGAGGAAGGAAAACAACATTTAAATGTTAAAATATGAGTTGACCGAAGGCAAGTTAAACAGAATTTTGAATTCCTCACACATTTGCTGCAGGGAAACAACCAGACCAGAGTTATTCCTAGATTTGCATTCCTGATGCTGTTCTCTTTCAAGCTTGATCCTAATTTCTCTCTTCCTCTTAATGATCATTACTCTGGCTTTCAATGGCACCTCCTGCTGATGTGTTACTGCAGTGATTGCAGAGACTCTTCCACTGCTGGCTCTCTGTGTATCCCTTCCAATTTGATATATGGAGAGTAAAGAGGAAAATAACAGGCCCTGCTAATTACCCCATAGCGCGCCAAGTTTTGTCCCAACTCTAAAGCCACTGTAAGACTGGAACTCAAATTCCTGCAGAGGAAAAGCTCCCTCCTCTCCTGCCAGACCTCTTCATTTTTGCCACTCCTGGTGCTACACGTGGAGGATGTTGGCCCTGGGAGAGGGGAGCTTGCAGGCATCACCTGTGTCTCACCCTGGTTCAGGGAGGGATGCAGCCCCACACCTGAGATGCTTCTTTGGGAGCATCCTGAGCCAGGAATACGTGGTGGACTTGACAGCTTTGCTGTTTCTGCAGTCTGGGAAGGGTGGGAATGGTGATTGGCACAGTCTGTGCTCTGGGTGTCTTGTTGTGAAACAGCAATTTAACTCTGAGAGTTAAGGGAGAGGGATATTTGTGTTCCCTGGAGGTTGATAGAGCATTTCAGGATGTGGTTCTGTCTGAGTGCAGACAGCCAAATAGCATGTCCATTCAAAAATGGCAGTAAAATAGGAATTAGAAAGAAACAAGTCTTTACCTTCTTTAGTACTCCAAATAACTGGCTTATTGGTTCAGGCTGAACAAAATGTACTTAAATTACTCTCCTGGCATCACCCAGACTAGTGCTTTATTTCTTTCATGCTTATTTCTTTCCATTCCTGTGCAAGACAGGCTTTTTTGGTTTATTTTTCCAAGCAAACAGAATAACCTTCAGCTGTATTTTAATGTTTTTCTGCTATAAATAAATAAATTTGGTAATGCTGTGGATGCTTTTCTGCCGTCCTGGAGTCAAACTGTTCCTTTATAGAAAGCTGCAGCAGAGTAAAAGGGGGAAGGTGCTCTGCAGTTTCCAGGAAAAGCAGTTTGTTCTGATGCTTGTTGCACTCATTTCAGTAATCGGCAGGGGAGGAGAGCAGATCTCACGGATCCAGATAGAGTCTGGCTGCAAAATTCAAATTGCTCCAGGTAAGCCCCTCTTTGTGTGGTGGGTGAACAGGTTTTAATGTCAAAGGGTGTTGTGTCCATTAGATCAGGCACTTTCCATGCTCAGGGTGTGTTATCACCATTGGCATGGATATAGACAGCCATGGGAGAGCCGTTGTGGGACCCACCTCCCAGGCAGGGTAGAAAACAGGTTGCTCAGGTGGTTTGCGGGATGGAACAGTGAGGGAACTGCCTTTCACCAGCAGATGGTTGCAGAGCAAATGAACAATCCATGTTGTGCTTAGGCCTGGAGCTGCTGAGTTTTGGCACTTTGCTCAGCTCTGTGGTTTGCCTCTGACTGCTCTGGTCAGCTCCAGCTCCTGGCAGAGGACATTTCAGCAGGGTTGGCAGCAGCTTTCCATACAGCTTGCTTTGCATCATAGAAATGAAACCATTCTTCCAAATGGGGTCATTTGGTGCCAGTTTGCTTTGAGGAGGACTGTGCTGCAGTGCTGTGCAGGGAACTGTTGATCAATGTTATCTGAGTTTTTACCCCTCCCTTTAATTGGTGGGGAAGGCTTTAAAAGAATGCAGACATCCAGTAAATCGTTTAAAATATGTTGATCCTGGATGTCTTTGAATTCTTTCTTCAGCATGCTATGTGTGCAGGTGGGAGGTGCTTCCATTGGTGCTTCATGGTCACTGAAATAGCTGCCACATTTTTAATTCCATATACCACAAGTTTTCTCCTTGTTTCCTTTGCAGACAGTGGTGGGATGCCCGAGAGGCCCTGTGTACTCACTGGGACACCAGAGAGCATTGAGTGAGTTCTGATTTCATTTCTCTCCTTTGTCCTTCTTTCTCTTCTCCCTAATGCTATGCTCTGTCAGTGGTGCTACTTGGTTATTAGCCACACCAGCAAATGTTGGCCTAGAGAAACTTGAGGGTCTCTGGAGCATAGAACCTCTTGGTCTGATGCTCTAAACTGTGCACCTCAAAGGCTTTTTTTCCACTTGCAGTTTGACTCCTCTGCAGAAATTTCCTTGGAATTCCCCTCCTCAGGGTGAGGTTGCTCTTAGGGCACCTAGGATGCAGTTTGTAACTGCAGCTATACTGTAACTCCAGGATACTGAGCTAAGCTCTTGAAGGGCACTTCTCTTCTCCCCTTCGCTTCCCTACTCCTATTGAGATGAGCATCCTTCCAGCTGAAGAAGGGCTGCATGAGGCCTCCAGAGCCTGTGGGTGCCACTCCAGGATACCCTGGAGGTGTTGGTGTTGTTGCAGAGCAGCATGAGGCCCACTGGGTGCTTGTCTCTGCATTGCTGCCAACAAGAAGCAAAGGACTGAACCCAAGTCTTGATTCTGCTCCTTGCATGGTAGAGACACGTGGCCAGCCAGCAGGGATTTCTATCTTTAGACCTATAGAAACTTTAGGGACAGTGTTTCCTCCCTCCCCCTTCCCAGGAGCTGAGTTTGAGACTCTCACAAACCAGTTGAGGACCTCCTGCTGGAACTGGATCCAGGATCCTCAGGCTTACAGGAACACACTTAACATATGGAGCTGCTCTTTCTCTCCCCAGCCTTTGGGTAGGTGGGTTTTTTAAAATCCATCTGGAAATCTTTAAGTTGCGTTTGAAAATACATTGGTGCAAAGATTGTCTCTCTAAAGAGAAGACACTCATCATTCTTCCATTCCTAAAGAGATCTAAGGGTACTTAAATCTCCTTATTCTATCATAATACTGCAAGCAGTGAGCCCCAACAAATATAATTGGCAATCTCATATTATAGGGCAGGCAGTGTATTCTTGCTGATATTGAGGTGGTTTTCCCCCTTTAGCAAAGGATATTTAAGAACAAGAGCGAAATAGTAAAAAGCTGGGATGCTTCATGAGATGCAGTTGTGGGAAAATGGGGGAGAAGTGTAGTTAAAACTTCGTGGTTCTGAAGTAAGCAGTTAAATGTACTCATGTCCAAGGCTATCTTTAAATAAACAGGAGTAAATCTTAAGTGAGACTATTAAATTTGTGAAACAGAACATGGACATGGAATTAAGTGAAATTTAATTTACTTTTGTGGCAAAATTCTTGACAAATTGGTTGTTTGAACTAGGTTTTTCAGGCTACTTGTAGAAAAAGAAAATTAAGTAAGGAAACCATTTTAAGTGTCAGACTTCTTTGAGAAGAGTTTTGTGAGGAATGTTTTCATTAGTTATATCCAGTGACAAACTAATTAGGGTAATTTCCAAGTGACCCCTTCTCATCTGAAATATGTTGTGTATTCACTGTTGTGGTCTCTATATTGTCACTAAAAAAACTTTGCACTAAATATGAAGGCAGATGCATAAAATGTCCCAGGACTTTTCCAGGACATTTGAAGCAGGCTTCCAGAAATTCCACCTTTTCCCTTTTGTTGTGAGAAAGTCAAGGGCAAGCAGTGCTCTGCTCTGAGTGCAGCCTCAGTGCACCACCCCCTGAGCTGCCTTGGGGGAATGTCTGCTTGAAGGGATGAGTTTGTACTGGTTTTTCAAATCCCCAGAGAGAATTCAGTCATCCTTAGGGTGCCTGATACGGCTTGGTGTGAAGTGGAGAGAGGGGAAGGTGCTGCATTAGGCTGTACAAGGAACCAGTAAATTTCTTCTGCTTTCAGAAGGGTTGTGGGACAAGGGCAGGAATGGGATGTGCTGGTATAGGAGTCTTCAAGATGAAGGGAAACCCTGTCAGTTACCTCTGACATGCTAAAGATTTTAGAGAAGGGATCTTTAATCTCCCAAATGCTTCTTTGTGTGTCTCTTCTCACCAGGAGTAGAAGAACCCAGTCTTTCACTGGTGGCTGCTGCAGTATCCCTGCCTTGCTTCGTGGTGTAGCTTCAGCACCTACTGCTTGGAGCAGAGGCTGTGTTAGGACAGTGTTCTGGTGCTGCTGGTAAGAGCAGGTAGAGAAGAGCAAAGCAGTTGCCTGTGACTGATCAGAGAATGGTTAATCCATGGGCTGTGTTAGTATCAGAGCAGTGTGTGTCTTTTTGTCTTGACTGAGAAGGAGACCAGAGCTTCAGTTTTATTATTGTATGCGTGTTAGAAAAGTTAAAACCTAGAGCATCTTCATTTGAAGCAAGCATCCCAAATGCTGTAGTTCAACTATTGTCCTTAACTTCCTAAGAGGTCAGAGCATGCTGCTGCTCTTCCTTTTCTCTTCCCCTTCAAAAATCAAACTGCTTATAAGTAATCATGATAGGGGAAAATAGACATCAAAGAGTTTATTTTTTAAAAAGGGCAAACATTGTGCTGACTATGGTTTCCTCCATCTTTCCACTTCTCCTCTCCATTCCGATGGTTCCTGGTCTCTTGGTCTCGTGGAGCAATGTTGTCTAATGGTTGTTTCCCTCGATTCTTTTCCAAAGACAAGCAAAACGGCTTCTGGGGCAGATTGTAGATCGCTGTCGCAACGGACCTGGTTTTCACAACGATGTTGATGGCAACAGTACCATTCAGGAGATTTTGATCCCGGCATCCAAAGTGGGTCTAGTCATCGGCAAAGGAGGTGAAACAATAAAACAGTTGCAGGTGCGCAAGATGCATTTCCTTGAGGGCTCTCTTCCCTACTGCAGCTTCTCTAGATCCACTGGAACAGGCTGAAATGGAGAGCCTTGAATGCTCTAACCTTCTCCAGCAGGGACTACTCTTCTGCCTTCGGAGATTGGACTCCAATCCAATCTCTTGTTACAAAATCAGTGTGGCCCCAGCTACACAAGTAGTGGAGTTCTGCCAGAACTGCGACAGAAACCCTTGTGCTGTAGATAACACTTGGTGTGTGCTGTTTAGGAGGGGATCCCTGTAGCCAAGGAAGGGCCATGTCTGCTCTGCTCTGCAGTATTTTTAATGCCAGCCATGCTCTTGTAGAGTGCTCTGCTTCTCTTTTGTTGCTGGTCTGTGGTAAAGCTGCCATATGTCATCTTTTTTTCTCATCCCACCCCTTTCTAATTAAGTGTTGTGTTATGTATCAACTGTGTTCCTGGACGTTCTTTATTCCTCCATCTGGTACAAGTTTTTAAAGAATAGAGGGTTATAGCAAAACACCTAGGGTCAAAAATGGAGGGGTTTTGAGTGCCCTCGTTAGACCTCTGTCATATAGTTTGGAGGCTGGTCACTTAATAACTGTTACATGCAGACAGCTACACATTTTGGAAAGGGCTGGAAAGTCAGTAGTTGAGGTGGAGGGGGTCGTTCTTGCAAGGATTTCAGCTATTTGAGAACCTCAGGAGCAGTGCAGTTTCTGGCAGTCCTTTACACTCTAGGACTGTTCCTGAATTTGTGCGTTCTGTAACGGTGCTGGTTTGACCTTCATAATGTTTAATAACCAAAATCTAGTCCCTTGTTCTAGGGACTCTGCTTAGAAAAATTGCTCTGTGCTTTTTCTTCAGGAGCGAACAGGTGTGAAAATGATTATGATCCAAGATGGTCCTTTGCCTACTGGAGCAGATAAACCTCTCCGTATTACTGGAGATGCATTTAAAGTGCAGGTATGTAACAAAAGCAAACTGGTTCCCCAAGAGAACTGAGGAGAAATTCAAACCTGGCTGTATTTGTGAGCACCTAATGGAGTCAAATCCAAATGTAAATGTGATAATCTTTCCTGGTTTTGTTTGTTCTGTAAGGTTGAGTAGAGCAAGTTAAAACACCAGAGTTTGTTTTACAGTATAACTTAGGAGCTGTCACTCCACATAAATGCTGCACATGGGTAGGAGTAGAGATGAGGGGGAGGGTTTGGAGAAAGAAGTTTTGAAATGCTTTCCAGTCTGTGTGACAAAAAATCAAAGAGAGTTCTGTGTCACTCAGGCAAATGGGTTCTTAGTGACTGAATTACACATTTGAGACAGCAAACCTTTCACAAAACTACCTCAGACAGCCAATCGACACAGGTAATTAAAAACCAGTCCCACAACAACTCCTGAAACCAAGGGGTTTGCTTAATATTGATGCCTCAGTCTCCTTGTGCCAGGGTTCTGCAGATGTGGACGTGCCTGTGGTTTGGAGAAAATCCCCCCCATCAGCTGCAGACTGGGGGATTGCTGTGTGATGGGAGCACCTGAATTAGAGCATTAAAGTTCAGCCACAGCCTGTTCCACTTCTCAGAAAGTGCCTTTCATAACTTGCTAAGTACTTAAATCTAGCTTAGCATTCCTGTCTCCAATAGAAGTAGTTCTGTTTCATAGGATCTCCCTAATCATAAATTGCTGCAACTGTTCATGTTGCCCAGGCATTGTATTTGGGTAGTATTTTTCAAAGCTCTTATTGCAAGTTTTAGAGTTATGTTTTTCCCCCTGAAATTCTTATTGTGGAGGTATCACTGTGCAAAAGGAGTTTAAAGACAGTCTGGCTACTTTTAACCAAATCATACTCTCAATGCTGCCACTTCCCAGATGGCTTCTGCTGTGCAAGATTTGCTGTTGTCACATCTTCCATTCAAGGAAACATGGAGACTGCACAGGCTGGAAGATCTTTGAGACACTTAAGGCTGAGCACACTTAGGAGGTGTTTAAGATGTGCGATGAGTCCTTGGGTTTGGTGGGATTCTGTGGATGCTGCCATAGTGTTCCTTAACTTCCTCCTTCTGAAATCTCTCCATCACCCATATTTCTGCCTTGGCATCTCTGAAATGTCTTTGAGTTGCTTCTTTCTGTTGAAAATACTTTGAGGACATGGGAAATATGTAAAAATGAAAGGAGAGAGTTTCACCACTGTCCTCAAGCTTGGAAACAGAACCAAGATGTCAAAAGCTTGACTGGCAGTAGAGAGAAACAAATGCTGGGGTTTGACATACAGGCTTTTTTTATTTTATTGGTGAGTACTGTTGGCTAGTTTCCAGTGTAGACTTTGACTGGCTGGGCTTGTGAATGGCCTTGAGTGCTATCAGTAGGTAGGAAAAATATCCTTTTGTCTCAGAAAATGTCCTGCTGGATTGCTGCAGACTTGGGCTTAACTTCTCAGAGTCAGTAAGCTCAGTGGTGCCCAGCAGCCTCCTTACTATGTGCTCTGTAGCTCTTAGTGGGCATGACCTCTGCCATGCTACCAACAGCTTCTACCTTACTGTATTGGTTTCAGTTCTATCAGTAGGAAAGGGCATCCACTTCCAAAGATATTTTAAAAGTTAAAGTACCTTTTTTGAAAAACTGGAGGAAGCAATTGCACCCAAGAAACTGCCACCTTGTGCACCTGGCAGGTTTTGTCAGACATAGAAGATGCCATCGAGAACAGACTGTGGTAAAAGAAATCCTAAATCAGACTGCTGTTCCTGTCAGCAGATGGAGATCCCCCTGCCTGAAGCCTGACCATTCCCCATGTGGAGGCCTTAACACCAGGAGGGCAAGCAGAAGAATTTGAAGCTAACTGTAACTTCTTTCCCCATGTAGCAAGCGAGGGAAATGGTACTGGAGATCATCCGAGAGAAAGATCAGGCAGACTTCCGAGGCGTGCGCAGTGATTTCAGTGCTAGAATGGGAGGAGGCAGCATAGAGGTACGTTTGCTTCTCAGTGCTCTGCTAACCTCCCTGTGGGATGGGTACTGGGGGGAGTCATCCAACTGCACTTGTGACCTGTAAGCTTTTTTTTAAATGTGTTGTGTTCTTTTTTTTTTTTTTTTTTTTGCCAGAAGAATTGAGTCTGGCTCTGCAAAGAGGAGGAGTTCTCATGGACTCCCAGATGGCACTTTATAATTGAAGCTGCATTCTTGTAGTGCAGAGTTCATTTAGTGGGGAAGGAATTTGTGGCCACGTGTTTGTTTTTCTCAAGAGATGCGGTTCTGTAGCCTGGAGCTGCCTAACATGGCCCACCCTCAAAGTTAAGAGCGTCTCCTTGTAAAATCAGAGTCATTCAGTCTAGTTCTCTGCACTTTCATACTCCTTTGCCTTTCCCATCAGGTCTCTGTGCCCAGGTATGCTGTTGGAATTGTGATAGGAAGAAATGGAGAAATGATCAAAAAGATTCAGAATGATGCTGGAGTTAGGATTCAATTTAAACCAGGTTTGTGTGAGGATGGAGAGCCGTTGCTTTCTGACCAGTGTTCCACTTTTGGGTTCCAGCAGCCAGGCTTTCCTCATTTACAGGTGCATTGTGTCTCTTTCTGAAACCCATTTAAATGTGATGTGCTGCCTCCTCATGCACTTCCTGGTTTTCAGAGAGTAAGATTATGTACAGCTCATTTGCAAACATTAGATGTCACAACAGTCATGTCTTGAGTGGTAATTATACAGATAAATAAAATAACAAAAATCTTTTATTTCCTGTTAAAGAATTCTCCTTCAGGACATTAAAGCCTTTGGGGATCAGGAGTTGATTAATTCTGAGTAACTTTCTCTGGGTCCTTGGCTGTCTGATCACCTATCAAAGCTGCCTTTTTTCCTCTTAAAATTATATCAGTCTCTTTCGTAGCTTTTTGACATTTGAAAGTGTTTTCTTTTGAGCGTTGTTCCCTCTGCAGTGTGGGCTGGGTTTTGTCTTCTTGCAGTCCAGGGAAGAGGGGCTGAAGGTGGAGGGAAGCAGTAGCTCCTGGGATAGTTCTGTGGTGTGAAAATGCTGCCAGCAGTGTTGGTGCTGGAAGGAAGCTTTTGTTGATGAGTGGATGTTTTCTGTTTTTAATTGAGTCTTTGCCCCCTCTCTCCACAGATGATGGGATTAGCGCTGAAAGAGTCGCGCAGGTCATGGGGCTCCCCGATCGGTGTCAGCACGCAGCACACATCATCAGTGAGCTCATCCTCACGGCACAGGTGGGTTCTGGAAGTGCTCTCTGGGAATGTGGGCTGCATGGAGGGATGGAGGCCAGCTTCTGAAAAGCAGCAGTGTTCAGTTTTCCCCAGCAGGCACACATGCTGCTGCCTAGAGCTGCTGGGTTTGAGGTTTGTTTCTTTACGAGGGAAGTTCTTTTAATGTCATACAATGTGTATGTCCTAACTGAGCTGTGGGAAGGTCTTTTATTCCCAGGCCTATGAGGCATCATTATAGCTCCACATCTATCTCCTGTTTAGTTGCTGTTAAGTTTGGAAACAGTGAGCTGATGGAATGGAGTCCATCAGCATCAGACAGTGGTTGGGGGCTCTGTTTAGACAGCAGAGCACTGCCAGTGCTCAGTGGTGCCTCATCTTCAGCCTCCAGCCCTTTGGTCTGGTGAGGCACAGGAAGGTGCTGAGTGCCCAGGTATGGTGTCACTGTGCTCTAAGACACACCAGCATTGCATTGCACAAGAGCAAGAAAGGTGAAGTACTAGGGCAGACTCTTGAAGGAGGTTGTATATTCCCATTGCATTATGAGGAATTAAAACTTTAGGCCATTTCAGAAACCTGAGCATAATTTGTCCAAAAAGGTCCGTAATTTATCCATCTTAATATCTCTTCTAGCCCCAATACCTGGTTTGAATACTTGATTTCATAACTTGCTGTAATGACTCACTTAAATATTGTGGTCTGTCATGATAACCTCTGACTGCCCATGGCATTTCCTTTTGGAAAAATCACTTACCCAAAATGGGTATGTCCTTTAAGTGCCTTTGAACTTAAAAGCTTCCTTTGGAAGTTTTGGAAAATGTACATTTCTGCTGAGTAATTCCAGCAGGGTGACACTTGAAAGGGTTGGAAAGCAGCTTTTGTGTGTGTCAGTGCCAAGATCCATTGTTTGCTCTAAAGAGACCCCCCCATCACAAACTGAAAGTCCTTTAGTAGTTGATGCTTATTTATAGGTTTATTTCAGCAGATGTAAAGGCATGCATTTAAAAATAAAAATATCTTCCTGAATCAGGAAGGCAACCTACATTACTTGGCATCTTTCTAGAGTGCTTCAAACCTTGACTGTGAAACTGAGGTCCAGGAATATCTCAATTCAATGCCATTGATTATGAGGCAGTTTAACTGACCTGGCTTTATTTTGTTTTTAATGTGCATTGGTGCCAGCATAAAGACACTGATGCACATGTTTTGCCTTGTCAGGAACGAGATGGCTTTGGAAGCTTGGCTGTTGCCCGAGGAAGAGGTCGTGGCCGTGGGGACTGGAGTGTTGGAGCACCTGGGGGCGTGCAGGAAATCACCTACACTGTTCCAGCTGACAAGTGTGGCCTTGTTATAGGCAAAGGTGGGTTTGGTGACTCCAAATACCACAGCTTGCAATCCTTCTCTCTCTGGATGATCATGTTCTTGCTGCCTGACAGCGAAGCTTTCTGTGATTGTAGTGTTTAGTGCCCAGTGAATGCAGCGTAGGAATAAGCTGTAAGTGCTTGTGGTTGTTGTCTTTGTGGTGTTCTCACTCATAATTGTGTTCTCCAGGCCCTTGTTCACAAGCTGTAAGAGAGGCCCTTAATGCAGAGCTGTCAAATAAGCTTGTTTTATAACAAGCAGCTGGCTGAGAAAAGGCAGGTTCATTTGTAGAGCCTTTTTACAGAGAATTCGTTTGAAGGACAGTTTATCAGGGACAAGCAGAGCAGTCATTTCATGGTGCTGGATTTCTGTGAGTGCTCTGTGAGGAAATGGAAGGTCTCTGGGTGTGCTAATAACAGGAGCTACTTCCAGCCCCTGAAGTGTGTGATGAATGAAGTGAAGTAGGAGGATTTCTCTGCCTCTGCTGGCACCTGACCTGGCACAGAAGCCTGGTGCACCTTGTGCTACTTGGCTGAGCGTGTTCACTGCCATGGAGGCCCCTTGGCTGCTTGGCCAGTGGATCTCTCCATGCTCAGGAGATGGATGAGGAGTCATCCTCTCAATCAGGACAGCCCTGTGATGGTTATGAAACTGAGCATCAGCAGCAGACTCAGTTTGTCACAGAGCAGGAGCTGCATGTGGGGCAGTGGCAGGACTCAGGGTAGTGCCAGGAGCAGACAAGCTCTGTAGCTCTGAACTGCTGGGATGTGTCTGAGCTAATGCACTGACCTATCTAAGGCAGTGTTTCATTTTTCTATCTGCTTATTTCAGAAAGAATGACATATGCCTGAACTAGTATTTAAGTAATCACAGCTGGCTTTCAGCCTCAGCAGAGAATAGAATAGGAATAGATAAGCTGCAGCAGAAAAGGAGGCAGAGACTTGAGGGCATTGGGCCAAGTTTCAGTGGCTTTGAGTGTTCCTGGCAGGAGGGAGCTTGTGGTGAGACTTGTTGTGGCTTCTTTCCCTCCTGCACGTCCCTGCTGTTCCCTGCCATGGGCCTGTCCCCACAGCACCCTGAGCTCCTGCCCTGTTGGATGACCAGGGACATGGGCAGGTCAGCCCTGTAGCTGCAGTTGTTTCAGATGTTGTTTTTTTGCCACAAGCCTGTTCACAAACCTGAGAACTTTTTTTCAGTATGAAAAACCACCTGCTTTCCCCATTATGCAGAAATTGCAGTGATTATGCTTGTCCTCACTGAACAGTCCAGTTGGCCAAAAGATCAAGCAAAGTAAATTTTAAGCCCACGAGTGAGACTTAAATGTACAGAAAAATCAAATTATAATGAAACTTTATTGCTGTATCCATTAGTCATCTTTAATAAAGGATCAGAAAAGGTCACTTGTTGTTCAGCAGTGCACTGAAGTGGAGCATTTGTGACTACAGAGAGCACTGTGTGCTGAAAAGATAAATGCAGGTAGTGGAGTGAATGTCCCAGCATTCAAGTGCAAGGCCTGGCACAGCCTCACTGGGGGGTGAAGGGTGGCTTTTTACCTTTGTTTCCACAACAGCAAAATAGGGATTCTTACTTGGCCAGATCAGAAGCTTTCTGGAGTGACTAATTACTAGTTGTATGGTGATTTGAGTGCTGGTAGCATTGTAATACCACCTTGTAATCGGTGTTCTCACAGTGCCTGTGCTCTTAGGCTGCTGCAGCCTTCACTTTTGTCAAGTGAGTGATGGCTGTAGCGTTGCCTTTTGGGGTCTGGACCAGCGTGGATGTGCTGCACTCTCCACACATTGATGCAAGACAGGCAATTCTTGTTATTTCCACCCCTGCTGCCTGTGGGGCAGTGCAGGGCAGAGGGGATCTTAGTGGGGCTTTCTTAACAGTGACCAATTACAAAACCTTTGCACTCCCTGACAGTTTCTGAGCAGTTTCCAGCTGTTGGGTGTGAATGCAGAATGGGGCTGTTGGCCTCCTCTGTAAAATCTGGCTGAGGACTCTGGGCCCTCAGCTTGGTCTCGAGATCAGCAACCAAGCAAAGAGTGCTGAGCCAAGTGCCCTGGGCACCCAGGTGTGGTGTGTGTGATGTGACCTGGGAACTGCTCCTGTGCTCCCAGCTCCATGTGAGCACTTCAGAAGCAGGGAAAAGAGGGAGGCTGGGAAGTTTATCAGCTCAATTTCTGCAGCATTCATGACTGAAGACCTGGTGCCTTTTTCTTGTGGGCATCTCAGCTTGAGACCGTGAGCTTTTAGGAGTTGGCCTGCAGATCCTGCGCATGGCTTTTTTCCCTGCAGGGTGGGAAGGTGCAGCTTTTCTTTCCCAAAGGCCCTGAGGAAGGGTGGAGGCAAGCACCATACACATGTCAAAGTCTGTCTGTGTTTGGTGGCGCTTGGAAACAGCTTCTGACTCCCTGGGCCCCCCTGGATTTCCATGATAAATACAGCAATCCTGACAGATACCGCGCCCGGCCTGGCTCTTGTCAGCCCGGCCTTTGAGCAGGTTTGATTAATTGCTTTAGGATTTCACATCCAGCCGGGAGGGAGGCCGCTCCTGGCTCGCTCCTGCCCCCCATCAGGTGGAAGAATGGAGGGGATGAATGCTCTATAGACAGCCACCATGTGCCCAGCAGTCACCTCGCCGTGGGGAGGAGATTCCTTCCGGCACCGCGGCTGCGTCACGGCCTCTGCATCCTCTGGAGGGTGGCTTGGCTGGGAGGGAGCACTTCCACCTGTACCAGGCTGCAGGGGGAAGAGGACAAGGGCACTGAGTCCTTCTGGAGGGAGTGGGGGTAAAGCTTGAAGTCTCCCACCAAACCTGGAGAGGCAGCTGACTTGATTCTGCTGTGTGGTGTAGGAGGGAGCTGCTGTAGAAACAGACCCAACAGCCACAGGCTTGGTGCTGAATGCTAAATGGGGCAATGATTTGAAATCTGTATTCTCCTTGCTTCCAGTTTGAGAATGCTTCGATTTTTAATCCCCTTTTGGAAGGAGAAACTAGTCTGCAGTGCAAGTAGCAACCTCTGGTTGTGCCTCTGTCACCCAGTAAAGAAGTTGTGCCACTCCTTCAAATTGTGTTGCCTGAAAGGGTCCTCTGTTTTCACTGAGCAGATGAAATGGCTGTTGATTCAGATCTCACCTCGATATGTAAAAAACAGAGCTTCAAACAAATCTGCATCAGACAAAAGCATGACACAAAAAAAAAACCCTTCTTGGTTTTGAAACTTCATCTTACTCCTTTCCCATGCTTGACTGAAAGTAAGTGGGTTGGCTTTTGGCTGCACAGTACAATCCCTGTTGTCTGCCCCGGGATGTGACATGATTATCTTTTGTTAAATGCATCTTCAAAAATTCATTTAGAAAGAGTTAATTGCCCTTTGGCAACTTTTCCTCCTCCCTTCCCCAAGAAGGCTTTAAAATGTTAAAAAGGTCACGAGTCCATTACAATGAAATGAACAAGTGTCTGCAACATCCACAGTTTGTTTTGAAATTGTGCTGGATGTATAGAGATGGAAATGTGAGCAAAATTGAGGCGTTTATTTTTGGAGGTTCTTTTTAATGAAAACCAAACAAAAATCTCTGGTTAGTTTCCTTTGCTCTCTGTGCTGCTTGCTGTCTACCCTTTGAGCTGGTGATATTTTGGTTTGTGGTTTTAAAAGCTGTAAAACCCCTTCCTTCCCCACACCCTTTAATTTCTCCAGTTGAGTGGAGCTGGTCTGTAAGTTGTGTGAGCTTCCAAAAGAAGAATTGAACCATTGTAACATTGGCTGAGGCTTTTGTTAAGCAAATTTCATGAAGAGACCAGGACCTAGCAGGTCTTGAGGAAATCAGATCCACTTTGACTGGCCCTGCTGCATCCTGCTGGAAGCACTCCTGTGCTCTTGTGCATCCAGATGGCAAACGAGCCAGACATGTTCACTGCATGCACAGCTAACTCTGAAATAGCAGGAGACAGCCTGGAATCGAGTGCTGCCATGGCTGTGGAGGGATGTGTGGCTGCAGGGTGAACAGCAAACCTTGTAAGCAGGGGCTGCTCTAAGGCAATAACCTGTCAAACAGCTCATGTTTGGGAGAAGGCTTAAGCTTTGTTATGTGGCTGGTGGCTTTTTGCCTTAGTGATGGAAAAAAGAAGAAAAACCAGCATGTTTAGATTGCAGGTGACCTTCATTTCCTAGAGGATTTGAACAGCTGTGCAAAAGCAATGGAATTCAGTCAGTGCAGGTTTTGCATCTGTTTTGTCAAAGGGCACTTAGTGGGGCTTGTGTGTTCTTTAAGCAGCATCATCCATGACCCCAAAAACTGTTACAGTAGCTCAAGGTTTCAGGTTATGCTTGTGAAGTAGATTAAAGGAGCAGCATGAGCTCAGGTGCTGCAGTTTCTCTTGCTGTTGCCATCCTCAGCCTCACTCTCCTGAGGCACACAGAAGGTGCCTGAAATCCATTCCCAGGACCTGACTTTGATATTATTTTATGGAAAACGATGCTGAACATCCCTCCTAATGCCTTGGCTTTTTTTCTCCTCAGGTGGTGAGAACATCAAGAGCATAAATCAGCAGTCAGGAGCACACGTGGAGCTGCAGAGAAACCCACCCCCAAACACAGACCCTGGTGTAAGAATATTCACAATCAGAGGGGTCCCCCAGCAAATCGAGCTCGCTAGACATCTCATAGATGAGAAAGTTGGTGTAAGTTCCATCCCTGCACTCTTGCTCTGTCCCTTTCAGACTTGCTGGGTACATGTAGGCCTGGACTCACAGGATGGCACAGAATGCACGTGCTTGCATTGTTCAGCTTCAAAACCATTTGCCTCTTAGCAGCTGGCTTGAACTTGATGGCCCTCCAGCATCCATTTGGTTAATTTTTGCTGTGGTCCCAGAAGGATTTGACTGTTGACATAATCCTGGGTAGTGTATACAGCTATATGAGAGGGAAGAACAGCAGTAATAAGGTATGAAAAGGCTGTCAGAGGAGATTTTTGAAAGGGAGACAATAGTGTCACTGTGTGAGAATGACACAGTCCTGGCAGCATCATCCTGAAAGTAAAACACTGAACTTTCTCAGTAGGTTCAGGATGACTTATCTTACACTTAATGCAGTGCTGTGGTGTTGAAGTTTGATAAAGCTGCAGTACTACTGAATGAGGAGACTTTGGTAAAAAAGTATGGAAAACACTGAACTGGGGCGTGGCAAAGCTGAAAAGCTGCCTTCATGCTGAATGGAGAGGAGAAGGCTTGACACCAACCTCAGGATCCACGTGTCCCAGGCTGTCTTCTCTCCTTTCTTACTACTCATAGTAGCTGCCTCCACTCTGTACTTGGAGCTGGCATTAAATATCTGTGGATTCTGTGACAGGGTACCAGCATGGGTGGACCTGGAGGATTTGGTCAAAGTCCCTTCAGCCAAGCACCTGCTACACCTCATCAAAAGTAAGCTGCTGCATCTCCTCACCATGGGCTGGGGGAATGGCTGGGAGCTAGAAAGTGCTGGGAGAAGGGTGGAGGGCCCTGAAGGGGTGGGGTATGAGTGGAGCCTTCTAAAGATTAAGCATTCAGAAGCAAAAGCAAGTGAGCTCAATGCTTTAAGCTTGGCTACAGGAAAGATTTCATCTATTAAATGATGCACAGGTAGGTATTGGCATCTCCAAAATTCCTATCTCTAGTGCAGTGAGAGCATGGAAAGAAGCCTGAACTGCACAGAGCACAAGGAGTGCTGTTCAGTGTGATGTATCTTCACCTTGGCTTCATGAGCAGACTGATACCAAGGCAGGACATTGCAGTTCACACCTGCACTGCTTTCCTCTTGCTCCCATGTTGCCTGTTTGATCAGCAGCTGCTGACTATAAGTGACTAGTTCTCTTCTCTGGGCAGCTTCATGTCTGTGGCTTGGTAAGTATTTTATTGTCTACTTGAGCATGGCTTTTTGTCCTCTGCAGTGGTCCTCAGGCGTTCATGACACAGGGCTGGGGCAGTACCTACCAGACGTGGCAGCAGCCTGGACAGCAAGTCCCAAGTAAGTACCAGGACCTGGAGAAGGGTTGGTGTTCCCTCTGCAGTCTCTGCTTTGTGCCTGCAAAAGGCAGGTTCACCCATGAGACCACGTGTGGAAAACAGCAGAACAATTTCCTGAGCAGAGCAGAAGAGGTGTGTGGAGGCACGTGGTGGTGGTTGAGCTCAGAACGAGCTGAAGGACCTGGAAAAGTTTTGCTTTTTGTGTGCTTAAGTGCTTATTGCCTCTTTCTGCTCCTTTGGTAGAAACTTGGTCTTTGCTGTCTGTTCCTCTCTTTACAAAAACATTCCTGCCTGTGGCTCTCTTCCCCCAGGATTCTCCAGGGAAGGACTTGCTAACCACACTTCTCCCTAACAGGTGCTGAGCCCTCCCATCTCTTTGTTCTTGACCTTATAATTTCTTGTTTATTTTCTTGTTTAATTATTCCTTACAGGCTTTTCTTACTGCTCAAATTCCAGACTGATGGAGCAACAGGGGAGAGGGATGCAGGAAATGGAAGGAAGGTTAGGGAGGGCTCCTGTACTGGTCATTTCTTCCTGAAAGCCTGTGGAGTGAAAATTGAGCAGTTTGGAATGGAGAGTTGCCTTTTCAGAATTATTCTAGTAGGAAATGCTGGGGGTGATGCTGTAGCTGCATCATCCTGTATCTCCAACAGCTGAGGAATGGTTTCCCTTAACAGAGCAGATTCATGTCTGCTTGGTAATCTCAAAGCTCAGGTGGTGGTGGTAATGTCCAAAGGACCTTTGCAGTCACAATATTTTAAGTCTGGTCTCATTAAACTAAACCTAAGCACCAAAAGGTGTGTGGAGGGTTAATTTTAAGGGGTTTAATGGCAGATGCTTTTCACTGCTAAGGCTGATTTAGCAATGAAGCAGATTTTGAATTTTGGTATAAATTCCTGCCCTTTGCCGTGCCTGAGGTAGAGGAATCACTGCAGGAACAATGCCTGCAATTGCACTTGTGATTCCCTGTAACCCTGATCACCTTGGAGTGTCTATGACATTGTGAATATGTGAAATCTGGAAATCTCAGTGCTGCTTTGTTAACTTGCTGCACTTCTGAAACATGTGCTGTGGTGGCACATGGGAACCCTGCGTGGGAAGACTCTGTATGAGTCCTCTCTCTTAGCAGTTACAGCCTGAAATGATGACTTTCCCTTTGAGCTCTAGGGTCTTGGAGAAGGTCAGCAGTTGTTCTGGTTTCAGCACATTAAAATGCAGTGGTGGGCTTCAGTGGACTTTTCTTCTGTGCAGGAGTGGAATAGTATGGTACTGAAGAAGAGTATTTTCTCACTACCTTGTTTTACAGGAAAAATTGTTACTCTGCTCTTTTGCTTTGCATCCCCAAGGGCTCTGAACCTCCCTGAGCTTTGGGAAGCAGAGCAGTCAGTGCAGCAGGGGAAAGGGAAAGCTCCACAAAAATATTTAACTTTTATCTTCCATAGAGCCTTGGGTGAAATGCTTACAAAGTTGCATTGCTCTTTGCCTTGCAAGATGCCTTTAGAAACTCACCTTGGTAACTTAATTTCTTCCTCACCTTCCTGAACCATCCCTTCATGCTGCCCACCAGTCTCTGGGGAGAGTAGAATCTCCCTTCCTGCAGCAGAAAATCATGTGTCAGGCTCACCCCTCCTGGCTTTGGAGCCTGCTGTAGGAACCACAGCCCCCTTGAGCCCCCTGATGACCAATAATGCAGCTCATCCTCCAGGGCAGATTTGCACTGTCAGGTTCAGGTGGCTCCCAAAGCCCTGGAGCTTCCTGCCTTGCCATTGTCCTTCCCCATGTGGGTTTAGTCCCACACTGCTGCCTTTTGGAGGCAGGTGTTCTATTTCTGCAGTTGAACCTGATGGAAGATGTTGGCTCTCTAGTTCCATGGATGCTTAGGATGCTCCCTGTTCCTGTTTGTAGCCAGGCACACGGAAGGCAGGCTGGGTGAGGAGGGAGGACACACACAATGCTTTAAGAACCCTCACCACTCTTCTCTGCTGCAGTGGTGCCCAGGTGGAGCTCACCAAGGCGTAGGAGGATTGTTGTAAAAATAGGTAAATACCTGCTTTTGCACTTTTTAATGTGAAAACAGCCTTGTGCAGGGTCCACGGCCCGAGTGCAGCCTGTGTGTCACAGCTCTGTCAGCCCTGTCACAGCGCCGGCGTCCCGGGGACAGCCTCCTGTGCCCTCCTTGTGGGAGGAGGGGCAGACCCCCACCCCCTACACATGTATTTAGATTTTAATTACTTCCCCCATCTTAAATAAATTAACTGGCTGGGGAAACATTTTGCTGTGAAATGCATTTAGCTGCGTGTCCTTTCAGCCTGCTGTGGACTGTAATTCTCCGAGAAGAAAAGGCATTGAAGGAGGTCCTTTGTTGGCATTAGCAGGTGGACAGTTGAGGCAGCCTTGACCTCTGCCAGAAAAGGTCCTGACTTGTAGCATTGGTCAAGTCTTTTAACCCGCTTTTATGCCCCTGGACAGGACACTGCTGCCCTGTTCCCTCCACCCACTTCACACTTGCAGTGTTTTATTTTCCCCTTCCCCCCACTTCAAAGCCCCCCTCGGGCCGGCGTCAGGGCTGGGCTGGGCTGGGCTCTGCTCCACCCGTGTCCTCTGTCCCTGCCTCTGCTTGTCCCCAGTGCTCCCCACTCCTGCCGTGCCTCTCTGCAGCTCCCAGCTGCTGTGTTTGCTGCTGTGTGTCCCGTGTCTCACTGAGGGCTCTGTGCTCCCGCTGGGATCCAGGGAATCCTTCCTCTCTCCCAGCTGGCTGGGCTCTCCCTGCTGTGGCACTTGGATGTGCTGGGTTGGAGGTGTCTTAGTGCTTCAAAGATGGGGAGTCTGTGCTGGGTGGAGCCCAAGGTTTGGGATCTGTGAGGAGACACTGGCACTGCTTCCCTTGGAGCAGTGGAGGAGCCTGGAGCTGACACCATGAGCCAGCTGTGGCTGTTTGGGATGTTGTGGCTGCCTCTTCAGTGATGCCTGGCCTGTGCCCCTGTGGCCAGTGGAGCTGGCTGTGCCCCCTGTGCACCCCTGGGCAGTGGAGCTGGCTGTGTCCTGTGCAGGGCTCATGGCACCTTGAGGAGTTGGGAGCTGAGTGCCTGCCCCAAAGTTGTGCAGGTCGTGCTGTGGAGGCTTGTGTGTGTGCAGGGTGCATGGAGGGGCGTTGCTCACAGGGGTCCCTCAGCTCTGCTCCACTGAGAAGAGCAGGGGTGAAGGATGCAGCACCTGAGAAACAAGTGAGGTGACTCAAAACATGGCAGTTCCCTTGGCAGCTCTGTGGAGGTGACGAGTCTCAGCTGTGTCAGGTGTCTCAGCTCTCCTGCACTGAGTGCAAGCAGACTGGGAGCCCAGGGTGGCTCATTGCAGACTGGGCAGCTCCCAGCCACGTGCTCTGGCTTGAGCAGGTCCCAGCAGGGTGACATTTGGCTTCATGCCCTTCAGCAGATGAGCTGAGGTCAGGAACTTGAGCTTTTCCTCAGCTTCCCCTGAACTGAAGATGCCCAACACTGTAGAAAAGTGAAAGCTGAAGCGTCGAGTCTGGGCAGCTGGGGTAGACCCAGGGCCTGTGTAGTGGAGAGGTAGATGTCACTGGCTGGAAACTGTCACCTGTTCCATACTGACATGCCCCTTGTTGTCATCTTTGCACAGGCCAACAGAGCCAGCAGCAGAACAGCCATCCCGATTACAGCAAAGCATGGGAGGAGTATTTCAAAAAACAGAGTGAGTGAAACAGGCTTCCTGGAGATGAATCAGCTCTTGTCACGAGGAGTTAGCTCTAATCCAATGACTTGCATCTCCATCCCTGCCTTTTTTAGCTTCCAGTCCTTTGCAGATGCCCCCTGGCCCTGGCCTGTTGGTGATGGTGCATGTAGTGCTCCCAGGGAAAGCTCTCGGTTGTGCTGTCGCGTCTCGGGAGCGCAGCTCCCGCTGAGCTCCTCATGCCCCTGCTTGCAGCCAGCCTGCCTGGGGAAACACAGAACACGCAGGAACTGCTGCTGGCAAAACCCAGGGAGCTGGAGCTGGGTTGTGAGAGGGTAGGAGAGCTCATGGAAGGTCCCAGGCCTGGCTCTCTGCGCCGTGTTACAGAGTGCATGATCCCGACGTTTGGAGTTGCTTTGACATGGAGCTGCTGGAGGCTTTGCACCTTTGAGGATGAGGGGTGTGCAGGCTGTCAGGCTGCCCCTGCAGCTGCAGGGATGCTCTGGGTGCTTTCTGCCTGCTCTTGGCTTGTCCCTCACAGTCAGCTTGGAGTCCATCCTGCCATCCCACGCAGCGGAGCCGGTGTCGCTCTGTCAGGTGTCTGCAGCAGCTGGAAGGGGGCTGGCTCTTCATTAAGCTTGGCAAAAGGAGATCCTAAACCTGCACTTGGACTTCTGGAATTGCTGATCTCTTCCTTTTTTCTTCTTTCTCTCCAGGTCATGCTGCCAGTGCTGCTTCTCAGGCAAGTTCCCAGCCGGACTACACAATGGCTTGGGCAGAGTATTACCGACAGCAGGCTGCCTACTATGGGCAGACACTAGGGCAGGCTCAGGCCCACAGCCAGGTCTGTATTCACCTTCCCCAAACCCCTCTGCTCCTTCTCTTGGGCAATCTGGTATATTGGCTTTGCCTTGGTGTAGGGACTCTCCTTCAGGCTCACACGGTGAAGCAGAGATGTTTTGTGGCTGAGGAAGTGATCACAGAAGCGTTGCCTCAACATCAAAGTCTTATTTTCCTGTACAGGGTGGGTGAGGGTTTTTTTGGGAGGGGACTGGGAGATTATTTGTTTCTCCTGGGAGCCTTTCCTTATAGTCCCAGGCAGTTGTTTGACTTTGGGGAATTAAAGTAAAAGGAATGATGAAGCCAGGCTGGTGAGGCAGCACAGCACTGAACTGGGAGTGCAGGCACTGCCTTTTCTCGTGCTAGGACAGGAGCTGTGTGCTCACCATCTCCCTGTCCCAAAAGAAACCAAAACTTGAAAAATTATTTACCTGCTTTGAGTAAAATCACCCCTCAACTGTCACTCAGTGCACTGAGAGCATTGGGTGAGATTTACCCTGATCACACTTGCTGCTTCATGGAGCAAACAAAGCGGCAAAAAGTCTGTGCAAAGCACAGGGGCACCTTGCTGTGGTCTGACACTCGTCCCCACGGCTCCACATTCAGCTGTGGCTCTGGGAGCAGAGGCTGCTGTGGATGGCAGCCCCCAGCAGCTGCTCTCCCCTGCTCTCCCCTGCTCTCCCCTGCTCTCCCCTGCTCTCCCCTGCTCTCCCCTGCTCTCCCCTGCTCTCCCCTGCTCTCCCCTGCTCTCCCCTGCTCTCCCCTGCTCTCCCCTGCTCTCCCCTGCTCTCCCCTGCTCTCCCCAGCTCTCCCCAGCTCTCCCCTGCTCTCCCCGCTCTCCCCAGCGAGGTGGAGCCGGCGCTTGCCGCGGGCACTGGCCAGGGCTGACCTGGATGTGGTGATGATGAAAGGGCTTCTCTTCATTCCTCCCCGAGCCTGCCCTGCTGGAGAGAGGGATCTTGTTTGGTGAGGGCAGCGGAGCTCTGGGACAGCGTTAGGGCAGAGGGCTCTGGTGGCAGCTCAGAGCATCCTTTGAGCTCTGTTTCCCGCTCAGCTGCAGCGGGGACAGACCTGTGCTGGGGGAGGAGGGCTCAGCAGCTTGGATAATTTCCTGCTGCTCAGTAACTTTTCCTTTTCTCTCCTCTCTCTTTCTAGGAGCAGTAGAACAAGGTCCTCGTGGCAATTTTTTTTTCTTGGAATCGTTGTGGAAGAAAACCTTTTTGTAACAGAGGTTTCTAGATTTGCAACATTTTGATGAAGACTTTTCTGTTTGTGAAACACTAGCTGTAGGATAATCTATACTGAACTTTTCTAAGAATCAGGAACAATTAGTAATGTACTAAACGTATGGACATGCTGGTAATTTTGTTTCCAAATTTATATTAAAAAAAAAACAACCTCCGGGATTCTTTTTGGAGAGAAGCCAGAGAATTTGCAGGCACCAAAACGCACCCCAGAGCTGTGACATTTCAACATGTGGGTTTTTTGTGTGGTTTTTTTTTTCCTTTTAATTTTCGATCTTTTCTGTTGGAACAGAAAGAGTGGCTTGGAAGTCTTAGGTGGTATGTAACAAATCTTAAAAAGAAAAAAAAAATTAAACAGTATTTAAATATTCTTAAATATGTAAATTCATTAAATGTTTTACTTCTAATTTCTTGTATCTTGGCTGTCTTTGATTTTATTGCATTTTTAAAAAACTGAACTATGATATGTATTGTAATTAATGATATGATTTCTGTATTTGAAACAGTTACTGTTTGCAAGTTGGGGGGGCATTTTGTAGGGTTTGTATAATTTCTAGAGTCTAAAGGGGTAATATAAAAACGTGTTAATTTTTTTAGCAATACATGTTTTCATGTCTCCATTGCTCGTTGCATTTATGTATCTAAGACCTCCAAGCTTGTTAAAAAAAAGAAAAACAAAAAAAAAAGAAAAGAAAAAAAACTTCTTCTATGCTCTCAGAAATATAAATACTGTTATTTTTAATATTAAAATGAATCTGCTATTAGTACCTTTAACAAACACTGTGGAACATAAAACCGTATAAAAGGTAGTAACTATTTTTTAATTCCAAGGTGTTTTCTGCTTTTTCGTTTCTTTTAAATATTTTCTTATCTAATATTTGTCAAATTACCTAGAGAAATAAATGAATCTAGTATTAACCACAGTACGCGATAAATAATTTTGATTTAATAAAAGGGATAATATGATTTCTGATGTTTACTGTAGTGTTTCTTGTACAGATAACAGTGTATTTTTAAAGGAAAAACGGAATTGAAGCTATTTTTTCTTGCATTTTTAATTGCCCTGCGGGACATTCCGTTTTTAAATGTACTGAATTTACTGTTCTTGGGTTCTTTCCTTATTTTTCCTTATGCTTGAAATGTCTAACTATAAAGAACCGCGATTGGATAATGTTGAGCATGGTGTTAAAAAAAAAAAAGTGTTCTTTTTATTTGACTGACAGTTGCATTTTACACTCTATATAATAAAATTTCCACAAGGTGTCTTGTGGGCCAAGTATTTCCTGTCTCTTGGACTCCGTTGTTCCCGGCTCCTCGCGCCGCGTCCGGGGAGTTTGGGGCGGTCACTGTGGGCAGCATCAGCTTTAATTCTGGAGAAACTCTCGCTGTCACATTGCCCTGGTGCTGTTCTGGAGAAACTCTGTCACTGTCACATCCTCCTAGTGCTGTGACACCGAGGATTCCCGTGGAAGTTTCTGGTTTTGCTGCCATTTGGGCCAGCAGGGTCTGTGTTAACACCAGCAGGTTTCCTCTGCAGGCCTGTAAGGTTTTACTGCTGAGGTGTTGGCAGCCCCTGGTTTTAGGGCTCTGGACTTGTTGCTCTTCCCCAATTTTGTGGCTGAATCCATCAGGATCCGTCCCTGCGCGGGGGGGTTGCTGGAGCAGCACTGAGCAGAGGGATGGGAGGGATGTGTCTCCAGCCATTATCAGATGTGTTGAGGGCATCAGTTGTGCCCAGGCCAAGTCTGGCAATAAGTGTAGCTACTTCAGGGATCCCTTTCTTGTAAAATGTGAGTTTTGAGCTCCTCCAGCCTAAGGCAGCTCCCAGGCAGCCGTGGGGGTTTATGACGGGGGAAGGGAGGAAAGAAGATCCCATCTGCAAAGCCGGGAGCGGGAGGCACATTGAGAGCCGGAAGAAAAGGAGATGTAGCATCTCTAAATATACCTCCAGAGAATCAAGAGAGACATTGAAAGATGGGATAGTAAAAGCCACTTGGAAAGAGGGGAGAGGGGGGAAAAAATGGCTAGAGGAGGGCATAAAGGCTGCTGATGGGAATTGGGAGCGGGCATTACCGAGAAGACTTCCTTCTAATTCATCTTCCAAGCTCTGTGCCAAAACAGCATTTGGCATGGTTCACAGGGAGCAATTGTGTGATAATGAACCCTAAGGTGTCCCTTAATTGAAGACTGAGGATTACAGATTGTGCCAATAGTCGTAAATGGCGCAGGATTGTGGGAGGATGCATTTTCTTAAATGTATCTGTAAGTACAGATGAGTGAGTCTCCCCAGTGAAATGCCCCTACTATAAATTATGGAAATATCTCTTTCTGATGCAACCTTTTATTGAGGGGGTGGGGCAGCAGCACAAGAAATAGTTTGCAAGCCTTTGAAATTTGGCCTGTCATTAAGATGGTGCCTGCAAAGCTGGGGTTTCATCAGCAGTCTGGTGTCCTGGAAGGATGAAGTGCTTGAAACGTTCCCAAGTTCACTGATTTGTTTTCCATTATTGCTGCCTGCTCTGGGCAGAGAGGCCGCGGATGTTGAACTGTTCTGAGTCCGTGATGGGCTGGAGAGGGGCAGGGTTTAAGGCAGAGATGCCTCAGCACTTGATGAGGAGCTGGTGGCCTCTGGGTTCCTCCAAGCCCCCCTACAGCCCTGCTGCTTTCCTGCTCTGTGTCCATGCAGGGTGCTCTGGACTGGTCTGATGGTCACTGCCAGCCCAGGGCTGCACAGGCCCCTCACCTTTCACTCTGGGGTCTGCAGGCAGCTCCTCATGTCCTGGCTCAGGTGTGTGGTGCAGCCCAGAAGCTGCTGTGGTGCCTTCAAAGCCAAGTATTGGTGTCCAGGAGAGGAACCAAATCTCCTGCTCAGCTCTGGGCAAATTTAACCCCAGGTAATGTGGATTAAGCCCTGGCTGCACTGGGTTTTGGGCAGGGAGGGTTTGTCTGTCCCTTTGGCAGGAACTGGAGCAGGAGCAGTCCCTGAGGGCTGGGCAGGACAAGTGGGACACATTTGGGACTTTGGGGGCCATGAATGGTGATGGGGATGGTGCAGCCTTTTCCTCCTCACAGGGAGCCAGAGCCCAGGACGGGGCCAGGACAGAATCCTGAGGGGCAGGGAGGTGATCCCATGAGAACACCTTCAGTTTGGGGAAGGCTCAGCCTCCAGAGAGTGGCATTTGGGAAGAGCAGGACTGGAGTCAATGGCCCTGGCAGGAGGTGCCCAGCCCCTGTTCTTTGACAAAAATCCTCAATCCCTCTGCAGAGTCCTTGGCTCAGGCACAGGATGGCTCTGCTGCCCCAGAATGAACCCATCTCACTTCTGCTGCCCAGCTTTGCTGGGTGTGTGTGGGTGTCTGCACCGTGTCCCACAGGACCCCCCAAGCTGGCAGCACCCACCCCACTCTGCAGACAGAGCCTGAATCCCGAGCAGACATTAACTGTGATCTTTCTGCAAACCCTTTCTGAGCAGCAGCCCTAAAAACTCTGTCACTAAAGCATCTCACTGAGTCCAGGATGACCCTGATGCTCTCCCATGCTCTGAATTTGGTGAGCCTGAACAGGAACAGCACTTTTAGGAGTGGGAGACTTTGAGATAGACTAAAATACTTTAATTTTGCATGATTTGAGAACAAACTACATTATGGCCATTGCATGTTAGACTGAAATTACTGTTCAAAGAGACAAGATGTGGGACCTTTTTTTCCCCCCTTCTCCAAGTATTTAATATTTAATTGCATTAAAGGAACGCTGTATTTACAGTAATGGGCAGCATGGTCAGAGTGAGAGTTCCTGGTGTTTAACATGGAGCTTTCCAACAAGATGTGGATGTTCACAAGGTCCCACCTGCACTGCTGCTTCTCCCCTAAACCCACCTGGTTCCTCCCACTCTCAGGGGGATTTTCAAGGTTATTGGTGTTTGCAGGGTGAGGAATTGCAATCTTGCAGTGTCAGTGTATCCTGTCACACAGCACATGGGTGTTTACTCCATGCAGGGAGCTGTTCATCCTTCATTTGGCTGGTTTGGAGGTTTTTATCACTGGATTTGCTGTGAGTAGCAGCAGTGCAGGGTGCCCATGGCAGGCAGCGTTTCTCTGCTCTCATAAGGCTGGAAAAGAGACAAAAGAAACTTCCCAGAATTTTAATGGTGGAAATTAGCAGAAATCGGTGTTGTGTGACATCAAGATGAGCTGCAAGAGCCACAGCTCTGTTGGCAGGAGGAGAGAGTGGCCCCCGGAGCCAAGGGCAGTGGGAGGGCAGCAAGTGCTGGGGATGGAGGAAGATGGCAGAGGGGAACCAGCCATCCCTGGGGTGAAGGATTTGGGGCAGAGGGTGCCAGATCTGCCCTGCCACTTCCCTCCAGGTCTGAAGCACCACGTACAAGGCAGGTGACCCAAAAGAGCATCTCTGGGGGTGATGTGGGGGCAGGTACCAACAGCCCCCCAGATTATCTTCCTACCCTGCCCCTTATCACTTGAGGAAATCCTATTTCAAGGCCGCTCTAATGAAGCCTCTGATCTTTGCAGAGCCCGGCTCGCTCCCCTCTAATCCCGGCCGGGCCGGGGTGCAGGTGCCGCGGTGCCGGGGATTAGACGCTCCCTGCCCTTTGTGGGAGCCGTCACTCAGCGCGGCCTCCTTGTCCGGACCATTCGCCAGGGAATATTAAACTTTGCTGCCGTGCAGTCCTTACACGGGGAGGCCGGAGCTGCTGCTCTGCTTGTTTTGGGGGAAATGGAGCTGGTGAAGGGCAGGAGCTGCCGGAGGGGTCCCGCCTGCCGGGCAGCCCCGTCCCTGTCACCCACTCCGGTCCTCCCGTGCCAGGGCTCGTCCAGCCCGGCGGCCCCGGCCCTGGAGCAGGGAAGCTGTGCCTGGTGCTGAAATGCTGAGATCCTGCTCCTGCCAGCCTCAGCTGCCCGGCTCCTGCAATTCCCCGGTGCAGCCGTCCCGTGGGTTTGGCCGCTGCTGGAGGGGCTCGGCCGGCGTGGTCCCGGCTGCGGGCAGCAGCGCAGGGCAGGGGGAGCAGAGGGGCTCACGCACAGCCCCACACTGTCACACTGTCACACTGTCACACTGTCACACTGTCCCCTCGGGCACCTCTCCCGGCTGATGGCGCAGCGCAGTCCCCAGTCCGGGTCACAGCCCGCAGCTGGATCGGAGCTGATGCTGCAGGAGGGATGGGATGTGGGACCGACGCTGGTGGGATGCGGGAGAGACATCGGTGGGTGTCACTGTCCCGTCCCCAGATCACTGCCAGCAGGGAGAAAAAGGCGCAGAGATTTTCCTGTCCTTGCAGTCCACACCCCCGCTCTGTCCCTCCGGCCGTCCCGGGCCACCGGCCCCGCTGCCGAGCCGCGGTGCTGGCCGAGGAGTCGCCACCGCGATTCGCCACAGCCGCGCTCCCTTTCGAGGCCGCTTGAGCTCGGACGCAGCTGGGAAGGTGATTTTCTTCCTCTTGCTCTTGCGTGCCGTGACATCCTCGTCGAAACAATCCTGGAAATAACACTTAAAAAAAAGGAAGGGGGGAAAGAAAGGCAAGGAAGCGAGCGAGAGCGCAGGGGAGAGCACTCAGCATCTCCGCTCGGCTCCGCGGCCTCCCGCAGAGTGAAATGGAGGCAAATAATGCCTGAAGCTCCTTCCCCGAGCAGCGCAATCACCCGCGGCTCCAGGGGCTGCCGTGCCCTGTGCCGGAGCTTTATCCCCGCACCAAACGCTCCGTGCCCGGAGCCGCTGGTGCTGCTCAGGAGCACCCGAGCCCTCCCCACTGCCCCAGCCCCTCGGAGGGCAGCAGGGACAGGGTGGCAGTGCGCGGTTTGGAGGGAGACAAGGAGCCATTCAGCTCCATCCATGGATGGGGCACCCTGGGCATGGTCGCTCTCTTTTTGCCCCTGGGGAGGTGGCAGCGCATCCTCCTCACCGGGCACCTGCGTGTGCCCTGTGCTGGCACTGGGGAACGCCAGGAGCTGCTCCGAAGCAGGATGGGGACTCATGGGGACCCCTCCTCGGTGTCCCCTCGGGCCCGGGATGAAGCTCCCCAGGTGATGATGCAGGGGTGCTGCGTGCGGCGGGTGAAGAAGGCACAGGTGGGAAGTCCCCCCCTATAGAGGGAACATGCCAAGGATCCGCCGGCCCCCTCAGCCCAGGCTCACCCTGGGCATCGCCTTGTCCTCGCCTTGTCCTCCTGCACTCCCTGCTCCGCTGGTGGGAGCGTTCCCGGGCGCAGGTAACATTTGGGCACATTCCCATAACCGAGTGTCACCAACTGCTGCGGCGGCAGGGCCGGAGCCCCTCTCCAGCGCTGCTGTTTGCTTTGCAGCCTCCTTAGCCCCCATTGAGGCTTTTCAGCTTCAGCCCCTTCAGGGGGTTTAAGTAGGTAAAACCTGAGGAAGAGGCTATTTTCCTCCCTCCCTTTTGAGCCCTGCCTTGTGCCCAAAAGGCCCCCTTGTTTCACGCGTGCCAGTCACCTGGCTGGGCCCCCAGCCCCTTTCTCTCCCAGCCTCCCTTTTCTTTCTCCTTTCTCTCTTTTGACTTTTCCAGGAGCCCTCGCTCTCCAAACGAGCTTCAGATTGGATCCAGATTGAGGTCCCTTTGTCTTTCAAGGGTTGTACTAAGCTAATTAAATGTGATCCCAACAAATAAACGCAGATCTCCCCATTACATTCAGGCCTGCCTTTCAGGCAGCACCGGGCGGCCCCTCGCCCCCGCCCGCTCCGCGCAGGGTCCCCCTCATTGAGTCCTGGCCATTGAAAGCACTGCCGGGATTTCTTTTGTGCCGGGGGTCTCCGAGCCCTTTTTCCATCAGAAAAGACCCCCAAACAGCAGCTCGGCCTTTGTGAGTTTGCAAGCAAACGCCAAAGAAAAGCCCCCTGAATGCTTTAATAAATGACACATTTAGCAACTTCGGAGGCGCCTGGCTCCTGCGGCAGCCGCAGGGGTGCGATGATCCCTCCTGCCCCGGCTCCCCCGGCTCCCGCAGGGGTGCGATGATCCCTCCTGCCCCCCTTTCCCTCCGGCTCCCGGGGCATTTGCAGCCCGTGGAGGCGCAGAGGTTGCGGCCGGAGCAGCTGAGCGCCTCGGCTCCCAGCCCGGCTCTCGGCCGTGTCCTTTCCCGGCGCTCGGAGCAGGTGATGGGGTCGGCCGGGCCGCCCTGCGCCGGCCGCGGGCACCAGGGCACGGGCAGCGGGCAGGGCGCGGCGGGGCGGCCGGGGCCAGGGGGCTTTTGAACTCAGACCCCGTGGTCCCTTCGCCTCGTATTAGTGCTGGCAAATCCAAAATCGTTCTTAATGACACATACCAGCCCCCTCCCCCGGATCGGGGGCTGCGCTGGACTTTTCTCAGCTCAACTAATATCTTTTTAATGACTTTGGGAGGGGGCAGAGCCCGGCTCTGCCCTAGAGCCTGGATTGCTCCAAACAGATGTTGGGGCAGAGGGAGGGGGATGCTCTTCCCTGCCAGGGACTTTCTTCTAAAGTTCAAACGAGAGGGGAGCTTTCAATCACCGCTAAAAATGTATTTCTCCCCATTGAACAATGGGCTCCTTTCTGCGCCCGAGGGGACTCGGCTGCGATCGCGTTTCTGCTGCCGGAGAGGAGAAACCTCCGGTTTTAGGGCACGAAAAACTCAGCTTCGAAAAGGGCTCTTCCCTGCGCCGGTTATTTTCGTAGCTCTGCATCCCTCCTGCTTTCTACCCTCTACGGAAAAAAAAAATAATAAAAATAATACAAAATTGTACTAACGAAGCACTAATCGTCCTTCCGCGCTGCAGCCCTTCCCCGCCGCACAGGAGCCGCCGCAGAGCTTTGCGGTGAAGCCGGGCAGCGAATGCGGGGTTTGAGGAAAGAATCGCGGCTGCACCGGCCCGGGGCAGCGGCGGCTCCATCCCCTCATCCCGGCTCCATCGCCGGCGGCCCCACAAGAGTTAAATTTTAAAGCAAATCAAATTCCCATTGGCCACTGTATATTATCTCAGCAGTCTTCATTTGATACCTCTTTAATACAGAAAGGAGCTTTTCAAACCCCTTTTCTCTCTTTTCTCCCCGCCACTCTTTAAGAGCAATAAATGTTCAACTGCAATAACTATAAATCAATCTCCGCTCTGTTCAAATCCTATTCATGCGAAGGGCTGGAAGAGGGGAGAGAGCTCCCCCCTCCCCCCCGCCCCCCAAAAAGCAGCTGCTGGGCTCTAATCTCCTTTCTTGCACTGTCATTCACCCTCATTTTTCCTCCATCACCCCATCCCTGCAATCTTTTCTTGTTTTGCTTTTCTTTTCTCTCTTTGCTGCATTATGATCCCATGTCTCCCCTCATCAGACCCCAACCTTGTCCAGATCCTGACCATCCCCTTGTAGGCTGTGAAAGAAAAGAAGAGTCCATGGATGTCAAATTGGTCTCAAAAAGACCATGAAAGATTGATTTGCTCCACTTTTCTTCTGCCTGACATTATTTCTGAGGGTCCTGAATGGGAAACCAGAAAGTCTGGGACTGGAATAAAGATGTTCTCTCTGTAAGGGGGAGACGGGGGGGAAAAATGCCCATTTACTCCTGGCCCATCAACCCTGCAAAACAGAGCAAAAGAAAAGAGGACTGTGGCTATTCAGAGTCAGACCAATATGTACACCTCCCAACAATATGCCAATATACTGAGGGCTTCTCTATTAACACCCATGAATATTAAAGTGCTCACTAAACGCTCAGAAGGAACTTTGGGAATATACACATGAAAATACAAGCAGCATTGTGCGGGGCTCAGAACAATGGGGCGGCGATAATGGCCCTTCTCTATTAACAGCCATGAATATTAAACTTGTTTCCTCTTAAATGTTAAAAAGGAGGGATAGCTGCGATATTAAAAAAGAGAAATGAGTAGGGGGTGGGGGGGGGGGGGGGAACACACAGCAAAGCACCTTCCTAGGACCGGGAAGAAGCTTTGGGAAACAGCTGGGGATATTTAAAACCACGTAGAAAATGGAAGAATTTTTTTTCCCACCTTTTTTTACCACTACCCCCCCGCACGGCCGAGCCCCCGCAGCCGGGAGAGGGGTTCAGCGCAGCCCGCACCGGAGCCGCAGGGGGTTCAAGAGCATCTATTATTTATTTTGTCCCGGGATAACTTGAAGGTTGAAGGGTTTTCCTGGGGAAACGGAGGAAAAAAAAAAAATAAAAAAAGCAATCCGATGACTGGCTTGTCTCGGCGGCTGGAGGGAGCCGGTGTTGGGAACCTTTCCACCTGATGCGTTATGTTTAGCAAGGCTGAAATATTCTGACGGCTCCTCTAGCCAAAGTCCAGAAAAACAAAATAAACTTATTTTTTACGCTTATTAAACCAATCCCTGGCAGGTTGTTAACATCCCCTTTCCAGGACAGCGCTGCCTCTCGCCGGGCGAAGCCCCGAAAGTAAGCGCAGGTTTGGGTGCGTTCCTGACATCTGCGTTGCTTCTTGATTGGATTAATAGAAGTAATTAATTGCACACGGGTTGTAGCATCATTTCACCCAGGCCAGAATACACTCCAAAGCTTTCCCCTAAAAGATCCCCACGCAGGGGAGAGGCTGGGGGCTTGGGCTGGGCTTGGCGGCTGCTCCGGGCACGGTGAGACCCGGCGGGGCTTCCCGGGACTCCGGGCTGCGAGAACCGGCCTTTGAGCGCCTGAGGATCCTGGGGGCCCAGCCTTCTTCCCGCAGCCCTTTACAGCCCCTCGTCCCCATGAAAATCAAAAGAACAAGGCTAAGGAGAGGGCTCTAAGCTCCGACACAGCAGGACTAGGTTTAAATCCGGGAAAGATTAACCCTTTGCTGAGCCGGCGAAGCTCGGGCCCCGAGGGGAGCGCTGGGTTTGGGGGCACCGCTCTGATGTCGCCTTGCTGGGGAGCAGAGGTGGCTGCGGAGCTCCTGGCTCGGCAGGGCGGGGATGGGCGCCGTGGCTGGCCGGGGAACGCCTTCGGGTGCGGGGACGGGGGAGATGCGGCGGCAGAGCCCCGGAGACACCGCAGCCTCCCCGGGTGCGGGTCCGGCACTGGGGGAACACGGCAGGGCATGGTTGCGATTGCAGGGAGACCGGGGATCCACCAGCGGTTCCCAATCCGCACCTGGGCACAATTCCTGCGGGGATGTGAGATCGGGGACCGGCCGGGCTGGTGCCGGCAGCCGGGTGAGCCCTGACTTGGGGTCAAGCGGGGATCAGCCCCGGGAGCGCGTCCCACCTTCCCCGTGCTTGGGGACCCTCTCCCGGCATTCGGGGCAGCAGCGCCGGAGCCCCCCGGTGCTGCCGGTCCCGGCCGGGAAAGCCGGGGATGCGGGGGCCAGCGGGGAGCCGAGCACGGTCGGGACCAGCTCCGGGAGCCTCAGCCCGTTCCCCCGGGGCTGCGAGGGCCAAACGCCGCAGAGCACCGGGAGCTGTCGGGCTCGGGGCCGCCGATTTCGTTGTGGTGCTCAATGGCCCCAAAGCGCAGCGTTTTAATCCCAAAACGAGCGCGGGGGCCAGGTGGGGAGCGGGACCGTGCCCGAGGGTGCGCCCCGTCCGTGGGACACCGGCGGGGACATTTCTGCCGTTTCGCTGCTGTTCTGCCGTGCCCGGGGCAGGTGCCCGGTTTGGGTTTGCCGGGGCCGGGAGGTGCGGAGGCCGAGCCGGTGCGTGTGTGTGTATCGGTGTGTGTATATGTGTGTGTATCCTGTGTTTGTGTGTGTTTGTGTGTGTGTGTGTGTGCTCGCCGTGTCCCTCCCTCCCTCCAGCCACCCCACCCCCGGGAGGGGAGGGAAGGAGGAGATGGGAGGGGGGGGCTCCGACGGCTCGCCTCGCTCCGGCAGCCCCAGTCTCTCCGCCAACGTCAGGGAGGTCATTAATAACCAATTAGGAGGGTCAATGAAGCTCATATATAGCCGGGCGGGAGCCGCCGAGCCGAACGGAGCCCAGCCCGCCGCCCACCGCCCGCCGCGCCCGGCCCCGTCGCGCTCGGCCCCGCCGCCTCGCCCCCATGATGGGCTCGGTGCTGCCCGCCGAGGCCCTGGTCCTCAAGCCTGGGCTGAAGCCGCAGGGGCTCTCGCTGGCCGAGGTGATCACCTCCGACATCCTGCACAGCTTCCTCTACGGCCGCTGGAGAAACGTCCTGGGCGAGCAGCTCTTCGAAGAGAAGAGCAGCCCCAAGACAGCCTTCACGGCCGAAGTCCTGGCTCAGTCCTTCTCCGGAGGTGAGTGACCCCCCCGGACCCTCCCCGATCCCCCCGGTGTCCCCGATCGGCCCCGGGCCGGCTCCCGGAGTCCGGCGGCGGGATGCGGTCCCGGCGCCCCGCTCTCCCCAGGCGTGGGACTGGGGAAAAAGGGCTTTAAATTCATTTGGTTAACTTGGGCTTGACCTGAGAAAGTTCCCACTTAAACCGCGGGCTGGGGGGGCCGTCCCGCATTCAGCCGCCCCGGGACAATATCTTTTCTCTCGCCCCGGCATCGCCGGGGCGTCCCAGCTCCCTTTTCCCCCTCTCGGATTTCTGTTCCTCTCTTAATTTACCATGAAGGCTAATTCCATTTCCATTCACGATATGTCAACCATCTCATCTCCCCATTTTGTAAGAGGAATTCCTGGGCCCTTTTAAACAAGCCCTCGCGCCATTCAGGCACAATGTACCGCTACAGCATTCCTAAAGGACTAATGAATTTAGAATTAGCAATTTCTTTCTAGTTGAGTTTAATGAATGCAGATCACTTTAACAGCATGACAAATTGCTGGATGGGCCGAAATAGACACCATTTAACCTCCTTTCCCAGCCCCGCTCCCTCGCCCAGCCCGGGATGCTTTTCCCAGGTACCTCCTCAATGCCCCGGGGGAACCTTGTACCGCTTTGTGGGAGCCCGGTTGGGCGTTTCAAAGGCTCAGCCCCGGGGTCTGCGCTGGGGCCGGGGTTGGGCGGGGTCCCCGCCGCCCTCGATCTCCCTCCTCTCCCCCACCCCTGTCCCTTTCTGAGCCGCTCTCCCCCCTCGCAGAGGTGCAGAAACTCTCCAGCCTGGTGCTGCCGTCGGAAGTGATAATCGCCCAGAGCTCCATCCCCGGGGAAGGGCTCGGCATCTTCTCCAAGACTTGGATCAAGGCTGGCACCGAGATGGGGCCGTTCACGGGCAGGGTCATCTCCCCCGAACACGTGGACCTGTGCAAGAACAACAACCTCATGTGGGAGGTAACGACCCCCCGAGCCAGGACTGGTCTGGGGAGAAGCAGGGACGGGGGCTGGGGCTCTGTCCCGTGCTTGGGCGCCATTGAGAACCATCCTTGTGCCTCAGTTTCCCCATTCGTGCAAATATCTGGCCAGGTGGGTTTAGGAGCCCCTTGCAGGAGAGGGATGAGGTTTGCCCAGCCCTCGGGGTGCAGCCAGCCCTCAGAGGAGCCCCGAAACGCCGTTGCTCGTGTCCCATGCAGGCAGATCACGCCCTGCCCTGCCCATCCCGTCCTGGTGGAACACCCCCGACTGGTTGCTGCCTGCACTGGCCACAGTGGGCAAAACCAGCTCTGCCCTGTCCCTTGCCCCCTGCTTTGCCCCAGCCCTGGTGAGGTTAATCCCGAATGAAACCGTGGAGTTTGGGGGGATCTGAGATGCCAGGACATTGTGCACTAATGCACAGTGAATAGGGAGGGTTTTCCTTTTTTTTTTTTTTTTTAATTTGTTTGACTCTGACTAGCACTTCTTAATTATTGTTAATTATTATTGTAATTTTATACCTATCAGAAACTTGCCTTATCTTTTTTGGCACCCTGCTAAGCATCTTTCCAGGCCTGGCATGCACCTTCCCCCTCCACCCAGGGATTCTCCCGCTCCCATGGCAGCTGCAGGATGCTGAACAGCCCCTTCCTCTAGGGCTGAGCTGCTGGTGGGGCTGTGATGAGAAGGGAAATTGAGGAAGGGAGCTGGGTTATCCAGGGAGATTGGCATGGCTGGTCCTGCCAGCCCCTGTGAGAGCAGGGCACATTTCTCAGCCCTGCCACAGTCCAGCACCATGAGCAGGAAGGGTTCAGCATCTCCTGGCTGTTGTCAGGATCTCAGCCCCGAGGCTCTGCTGGCTTTGAGCCCGTCCCAGAGGTGGAGGGGCTCAGCCCAGTGCGGGCAGCATCGCTACCAAGCCCTCTCTGCCCTCGCAGGTTTTCAATGAGGATGGCACGGTGCGGTACTTCATTGACGCCAGCCAGGAGGATCACCGCAGCTGGATGACCTACATCAAATGTGCACGGAACGAGCAGGAGCAGAACCTCGAGGTTGTCCAGATCGGGAACAGCATCTTCTACAAGGCTATTGAGGTAAGTGGGGCTGAAGGGCAGCCGGGAATCTGCAATAGAAGAAGTCGGGTGGTGGGATCCCCCATCCTACAGACTCTCGCTCCGTTGTTCTTTGGGTTGTTGGCGGGGTGTCTGTGGAAGGACACGGCAGCTTTTCCATCCTTGGCACTCAGATTCACCTGCAGAGGTAGAAACCATAGGGAAGGGTTGTTGCATGGGCTTCAGGGGGTAGTAAAGGTCCCTTCTCCTCTCTGCCCCCTTTCTGTTGGCTCAAGGAGCGATGTGTGTTGAACAGGGTGAGAGTAGATCCTTGTTTGGGGTGCAAAGCATGAAAAGAGCTGCAGTTCTGGCCAATATGGGGCTTTGGGCAAGGACAAGGCTTGGATGCTCTATTAAAAAAATGAGATTTTGTGCAGAACCTGCTTCTTTATAGCAGAGTAAAGTTTGGGGGGTTCTGTGAAGCCCAGGTGGTGAGCACAGGCTGTGTCTGACTCTGCACTGCTTTGCCTGGTCATCACTCTGGCTGTGCAGGGAGCCACGGAGAGGGCAGGGAGTGGTGCTGGTGCAGTTCTGCCCTGGGCTTTACGCTGTGGGGAGGGGGCTCTTCCTGCCCCCCCATCCCTGTGCTCCTGCATGAAGTGCTGGTCTGTGCTGGCACAGGGGCAGGGGCAGGGTCCCAGGGGTGGCACAGGCTGCTGTGCAGTGGGGTGATGGCTGAAGGGTGCCCACAGCTCCCTACAGCAGACCCTGGGATGGAGGTGGGTGTCTGGCACCCTGGCATTATTGGTGATATGTTCATACAAGTCACACAGTGCCAGAGCAGGGTGATGGTGGGGACCAGCCCTGCTTATGTGCAGTGTCCCCATAACCCAGCGCTATTGCAGGTGGAGAGAGGTGGTGGCTTGGGGTGTAAAGCATGAAAAGAGCTGCACAAGGTCCTGTGCCACAGCTCTGGCTTAAAGAGTTACAGGAGGGGACACGTCCCAGTCCATCCCAGACCAGCACTGTGGGATTGTGCCCCTCCAGGGTTGGGCTCAGAGTCTCACCTGAGGATGTTTGCAGTGGGAGAGGGTCTCAGCTGGCAGTGACCACGAGTGCCTGCTGGCTCCGTGGCACGGGCAGTGCTCTGGATCTGTCCAGGCTCCTGCAGTGCCTCGGAGGAGCACAAACCCAAATGCTCCATGGCACAGGACCACAGCAGGGCTGGGTGAGGGATTGCTGCCACAGGGTGGCAAAGGAGAAGGGGTGGGTACGAAGAGGATCAGATATTCTCTCCTGCTGTAGAGTCCTGTGTGCCCTTTGGGCTCTGCCACCTTTCCCAAGAGCTCCAAGCACTTCCCTGCTGTTCTCCTGCTGGACAACAGGCTTTAGGTGTTTCTAGTTTTAAGACTTGATATTTCTGTGGGCAGCTGTTCCTGTTGTGACAGTACCTTAAGTACTTTTTACTACTGTTCTTAAATTATGCAAATAAGTAAAATAATCCCAGGTAGCTGTGGTGTAATTAGGAACACAGCTGTGGTTTTTACACCTGGTACAGGCACAGATGATGGGAGGATGAACAAATGTTTGGGTATAGCCATGATCCAGCTGTGGGCTTGCTCCTAGGGCTGAAGCAGTGAGCAGTGGAGCAGGATGAGTTTAATTCCCTTGGCACAAGCAGAGAATTTGAGATGCTGAGAGTGCAGAACCCCAAGGGATGTGTGGGAGGAGGTGGGCAGGAAGGGTCCCTGCTGTCACACTGCTCCCCAAGCTCGGCAGGGCACGCACACATAGATCCAAACTTAGGTGCTGCCTTGCTCAGCACCAGAGGTGTCCATGCATAGCCATTGTCAACCTACATCCCCTACCAGCCCTGGTGGCTTCCCAACCAGTGAATCCATCTCTTTGGATGCCTTTCTCACCTAAATGCCAAAAACCAGACTGATTTGGTGCTTTTTTTTCCCGTTTACCTTGGCTATTTTAATGCATTTTGCCCGTTCCTGCCCTTATTTGCTGATTTGTTTTTCCCATCCTCTTTCTCAGCAATACCAAGTTGCTGCTGCTGGAAAATAAAGTGAAGGCAGAAAGTTTTGGCCTTTGATCTGAAGGCTGCGAGGTTCCTGGGGGGCAATTTGAATTTTCTTTGGGGTGTATGCACGTGGGTGCTCATCTGCTGCTGGTATGGCTGCAGCAGCTTCAGCAGAAAAAACCATGCACCCATGCAGATTGTTTTTTTCCTTTCAGCAATATGTTATTTGCTTGTATTAAAAATTACTAATTTTCTGTCAAGAGTAAATAATGCCAAGAAACGTCATCAATTTGGGATGCAAAAGGATATCGGCTTACCCTGAATCCCAAATTCCTCCTCTGCAGCCCAGTGAGGTCTCTATGCAGAGGGACAAAGATATGAAGTAAAATTCCTATTTATTTCAAATGCTTTAAATTCAACATATTTGCAATGCTGAGGTGATTGAACTTAGCATCTGTGTTCCCTGTGGATAATATTTTACTGGAATCTAACATGCTCAGTGTACAGAAAGCCATCCTCCAAAACACAGGACGTTCCTATTTCTAAATTAGGTTCTTAACAGTAGGGGACTGCTAGGGAAAATATGAATTTTTTTATGAAGTGATGTTGTTATTAGGGTTGTTTGAAGGGGTCTGAGAGGACCCATCTTCCCAGGCAGGGCTGCTGCACGAGGGGAGCCGTGAGCGGCGTTTCCTGGCCGCTCGCCCCGGCCATGCAGGAACACGACAGGAACAGCAGGGACAGGAGAATCCCATCACTGCAGCGAAATGGGAGCGTGGATGATGCAAAACCCCTGCCTCCCTGCTCCTGTAGCTGTCCTTGGGCTGTTGCAGGCACGGCAGCTTTGGTGGGGGATATAAACAGCGTTTCACACCTGAGCCATGCTCTCTGACAGCAGCTCTGAGCTCTCCTCTGCTCCGGGGGCTGATGAGCCCTTTGCTGGCAGATCTGCATTTCCACCTTCTAAAATCGGCCCCAGCAGGGGTGGGTGGGTAGGAGATGCTGCCTGTGCCCTGCAGCTGAAGGGCGCTGATGGCTCTGTCCAAAGAGAGAATGCTCTGCTGGAGCCCTGAGCTGGGGCTCCGTCCCAGCTCCCTGCTTTGGTCTCTGTCACTTGTGCTGATTGTGGCTCCACAAATGTTTTTTTTTTCTCCATGTCTCTGTTTCACCCTGTCCTGGTCTCCTTGAGCTGCTGGGACCTCTGGGTCCTGCACTCTGGAGACTCCAGATCTGTCCCTGTGCTCTGTAGCTGCATATTTGCCCATAACACCATTTGTTTCCCAGCTTGGGGGAGAGTCTGGAGTGGGTTTGTGCTGGTGCTGAGCTGTGCCATCACCTCCAGTGCTGCATCCTGGGCTGCTCCGTGCCTGCCTGTAGGTGTTGGGGACTGCTGGCAGGTCCCAGGTAGCAGCAGGGTCTCACAGAAATAGGGCACAGCCAGGGTAGGTCCGAATGGATCAGAGCAGGGATGGATGTTCATTGCCCCTCCCAACAACCCTTTCTTTATCTCTCTTTCTAGATGATTCCTCCAGACCAAGAGCTGCTGGTCTGGTATGGGAACTCCCACAACACCTTCCTGGGCATCCCAGGTGTGCCAGGGCTGGAAGAGGAGCAGAAGAAGAACAAACATGGTAGGTAACATCAGAAAGAGCCAAGGCTGCAGCATCCCTGCCTGCTCACCCTGTGCCCAGCTCTGAGGCCGTTGGGCAGGGACATCCCAGGGGTATGTCAGATATCCCAGCTCTCTGTGGACAGGGACTATGAGATGATCCACACAGCTCAAGTAGGTCTTCAATAATTCAGGACAATGCCTCCAGGCCAATCTGCCCATGGCTGGTGCTGGTGGGGTGTTGGCAATCTCTGCCTGACCCAGCCAGGAAAGGAGGAGCAGTGCAGGGTGTGAGTGCAAGGCAGCCCCAACACCCCATGAAACACCAAGTGGATGCAGCCTCTACACCCCCACTCTGCATTTAAAGGATCTTAACCACCAACACAGGCAGGCTTTCTCTCCTTGGGCTTTTGCTCTCTGCTTGTCTCAGTGGCTCCCAGAGCTGCTTCTCTGTGGCACGGCAGAGCTCAGGCTGTGTTTGGAGCCACTTCTGTACTCCCTGACTCTGCTCCCCACTCTGAGAGAGCCATGTCTGAGCCCAGCAGAGCGAGGGGAGAAGCTGGGACTGGGGCAGGGGCTGGACAGTGTGGTTGGGGATTCCTGAGAATTTCTGCACCCACCTCCTCCAACTCTGCTTCAGCCCAGGGAGGGGAAAATTGGTTTTGTGCCCATTTATAAGGCATTTATTCAGCTCAGCTTGAATGAATCCCCTTAGCTAAATCTGGCTGAGTGCATTCCCAGCACTGGCTGCATCCCAAAATCCTAAGAGCCAGCCAGGACAGGTGACCTCAGCAGCAGGGAGCCAGCAAGAAGGCAGTGGGGACTTTCCAGAGCACCCAGCACCCCAGGGACTTGTTGGGGGGTGAGCTGTCATGCTGGAGGGCAGCGCCTGACTATCTCCTGTCATCCCCAGAGGATTTCCACGCGGTGGAGACGGGGGCCAGCACAACGGGGCGCATGCGCTGCGTCATCTGCCACCGCGGCTTCAACTCCCGCAGCAACCTGCGCTCCCACATGCGCATCCACACCCTGGACAAGCCCTTCGTGTGCCGCTTCTGCAACCGCCGCTTCAGCCAGTCCTCCACGCTCCGCAACCACGTCCGCTTGCACACGGGCGAGCGGCCCTACAAGTGCCAGGTTTGCCAAAGTGCCTATTCCCAGCTCGCGGGGCTGCGGGCGCACCAGAAAAGCGCCCGCCACCGGCCCCCCAACGCCTCCCTGCAGGCCCACTCGCCCGCCCTGCCCGTGCCCCACCCTGCCTCCCTGGCCCATCACATCCCCACCATGGTGCTGTGAAGCCCCGGCGTGGCAGCAGGATTTGGGAAAGCAGAGACTGATGCTGAGACATGTGATGAACTGGGGGGGTGGCCCTTGGCTGAGCTGCTTTGTGTCTCAGAGAGTGTTGGGTTGTTTTTGGGCATCGCTGACTGCGAGGGGTTGGCAGGAAGGGAACCCCCAGCTCTGCAGCTGAGTTGTGGGGGATCATCCCCAGGGAGATGTGGCACAGGGTGGGCTGTGGGTTTGTGTGGGTTTACCAGTGCGCTGGGGGAGGACTGGGAGAGCCGAAAAGCCAGGCTTGGAGGAGTCATGCCTGGGTTTTACAGATAATTTGGTAGAAAGAAAAGTTCCTTTTATGTGTCCTCCTCTGCTGTAGCAGATGTGTGCCCCACTGAAAGGTTGGCACAGCCCTGATGTGGCCACCCCAGTCGTACCTGTCTGCCCCAGGAGTGGCTTTGGCCCCAGTGGCTCCTTACAAGGGACACCTTTCCCTGCTTGAGAGCCCAGAGTTAATGAACATTTGCATTTTCCTGCCCCTGAGCCCCCTTTGCCTATCCTGCTCCAGCCAGAGCCCTGTACTGGGGTCTGTCACCGCTCCAAGCCGTGCTGTGGCGGAGGGGACACCGTGCCAGCTGGGCATGCCCATCCACAGGCAGGATTTGTGGGGACCCAGAGCTCTGCCGGGCTGTGCCTGTTCCAGCCATGGCAGCTCTTCTCCCCATCCCTTTCCCAGCTCTGAAGGAACATTTTGGTTGGAACTGCTACTGCCCTCTGGGGACAGAGAAAACCTGTCCCCGGGCCAGCTCTGTCCCCAGGGACAACTCTAAGCGCCCTCTGGAGTCCCCACATTGCGGAGGAGAGCTGTGTAACATAAATCGTAAAAAAAAGGTATTCTAATATTAATTATAACTCTAAGATGTATAAAGTTCTCACAAACCGTGTTTCACTTCCAGAAGAAAATGAACAAAAACAAAACAAAAGAGAAAAAAAAAAACCCAAACAACTGTCACTTTAACTTTGTAAATATTTATGTAAACATTATTTACAAGACTTTGATATTATATATTATTTGATTGTATATGTACACAGTGTAAATACATTTGTACCTCTCTTGTATTCTAAATAAAAATTACTTGGAACATTTATCATTTAGAAGAGGGATTGCATGGAAAGCTTTATTTTATGTGCCAGTGCCAGGATCTGGGTATTGCGATGAGTGAAGGTCTTAACTACCACAACAATCTGTGAGTGAGGAGATGTGGTGTCATCTGTTGGACCAAGAAGTGCAACTGGGAGGGGAAAATCCCCCCGTTTTTGGCTAAAGGAGCCCTTTTTTGGGTCTGGAAACTGGGCTAAGGGCTGGCTCACTCTGGAGCGGGTGCTATCTACCGATTCCACCCAGCCAGTCCCTATTCGTGTGAACTTGTACAGTCACCTATAAAGCCACAGCTACTGCCATCCTTTGATACATTCCATGAATTAGTGCCTATATTTCGGCTGTGATGGGACACAGGTGCAAGCCCTCCTGGAAGGAAGGGACATATTTGCTGACGGTCATCGCGGGCTGCTTTTCCCGAAGCATCTCCTCCGCAGCCGGTGCTTGAATGGATAAAACTTTTCCGCGGACGTATCAGTTCGTGCTGGCACAGCTCGGCCGAGGGCAAGGGCTCAGGGCCGAGTCCCCCGGGGATGTTTGAGCCGAGCGTGAGCACCGGCCAGCTGGGGAGGGCATAAGAGGATTGCCCTCAGGGGGACACCGTGTGTGAGGGGCACCCGAACTGGGGGTGCTGCTCCCCGCCTCGGCCCGGGCTGTGGGGCCCGGTGAGCCCCGGGGGAGGGTTCCCGGGCTTCTCCCGGTTTGCCGGGCAGGTTCTGAGTGAGCGGGTCACTGCCGGGCGCCGCCCGCACTAAAAATGGCCGCGGTCCCCCTTGGGCTCCACCGGAGCGAAGCCCGAGAGGCACGCCGCTGCCAGGAACAAACATGGCTGCCCAGTCACCGCCCCTGCCGCCCTCACTCAAGATGGCGCCGCCCGCGCCCTCAGGCGCGCTGTCGCCAGCAGCCAACATGGCGGGCGGAAGGCGCGAGCGGCGGGGCCAACATGGCGGCGGTCACCATGAGGCTGCCGGCGGCCCGCGCGCCCCTGGATTCTAGCGCGCTCCGGGGCGGCGAGAAGCACCTGGTGGCACCGGGGGACACCATCACCACGGACACGGGATACATGAGGTGCGGGCAGCGCCGGAGGAGAGGCAGCGGCGGCGGGGTGGCGCGGCTTCGGGCTGTCCTTAGTAGCCGCTGTCTCTCCGCAGGGGCCACGGTACTTATGTGGAGGACGACAAGTTGATCGCCTCGGTGGCCGGCGTGGTGGAGAGGGTGAACAAGCTGGTGTGTGTCAGGGCGCTGAAGGCCAGGTGAGCGCGGCCGCGGCGGTGCGGGCCGGCGGCGGGGCCTGGCTCGGCCCGGTGAGTGAGGTGTGTGACCGCCGCTCTCTGTCCCAGGTACAACGGCGAGATCGGCGACATCGTGGTCGGCAGGATTACGGAGGTAAACCCCCCTGCTTGCCGGGTGCCGAGGAGGAGGAGGGTGGCTGTGGCTCAGTCCGACTCTAAAAGCTTCCCGGGATCCTAAAACACTGACACACATACATCAGTGTCCCTGCTCAGGGTACCGGGAGTGTGTGGATTTTAACCGGGATGAGGCTGGAAGTAGCCAGTAGAGCTGTCCCCTCCTGCAGTTTGGTGAGCTGCAGCTCCTATTCAGTTTTTGAGTGTGTGTTCCTATAAGTTTGCGTGGTTTTTTTTTCCCTTAGGTTCAGCAGAAGCGATGGAAAGTGGAAACAAATTCCAGGCTGGATTCAGTCCTGTTGCTCTCATCTATAAATTTACCTGGTGGGGAGCTGGTGAGTGTAGCTGGTTGTGTTTTGCGTGGCATCCTGAGGTTCCCCACAAAGAGCCACTGATGGATGTTTTCTCGTTCTGGGCTACATGTAACTTTCGTTGTGATGTTTCAGAGAAGGAAATCAGCAGAAGATGAGCTTGCAATGAGGGACTACCTGCAGGAAGGGGATCTCATCAGTGTATCCTTCTGCTGCTCCCATTGACAGAAGAGCCAAGGGCATGGGAAGAGCAGGGAGAGCTTGGCTGGCCTGGCTGGGGGTGAGAGCTATGCTGGGGTGGCACTGGGCAGCCTTAGGGACCCTGTTTCCTTAAGTGGCACCCACAGGCAGAGGTCCAGTCTATATTTTCTGATGGGGCTGTATCGCTGCACACCCGGAGCCTGAAGTATGGGAAGGTGAGTTATTCCAAAGCCCTTGATCCTGGGTTCATTCTGCACCAGCTGATTTCTATAAGGCCCTTTGGAGGCTTTTTTAAGAAAAGAGCTATGGAGTAGAGCAGGATGTTGTTATTACTCATTCCTGCAGGACAGGGAGACCCTCAGCTCCTCCATGGGACCACCAAGCAGAGTTTCCCAAAGCAAAGGAGGTGTCCTTGAGTTTCCCTTTGATCCACTGCTCTCCCTGTCCACAGTTTCAGCCTGCTAGTTCTGCTTCCCCCACTAGCCACTTGGAATTAAATCCTGTGGAGAGATCTCCTCATTCCTCTTCTACTGGCTGTTGCCCCTGTGACTTGTTCTTCTCCCCAGGGCTCTATTTTAGGCTTTACACAGTTGGCATTTATCTCTAGTTTTGTGCATTGAAATAAGCCAAGAGGCCGTTGGAGCGTAGGCTGCAGTTTGGGATTACCAGACCAAGGGTATTAGCACTTAAAAGATGAAAGGGAAGTGTGCTTATTGCACAAAGGATGAAGGACAGTGATTGGATTATGAGGGAAAGTGTTCTGCTAAATTGGGCCTCTGACTCCTCATTTTTCTGCAGGGATGGTTGATGTGTAGTTACGATCGAGATATTATTAACATTTGCGCTAAGCACTTAGAGTATTCTTCATCTTCAAAGGGCTGCACAAGCATTAGCTAATCCTCCCTGCACTCCCAGAGGCTTGCAGGTTTTATATTCACTGTTTCACTGGAAAAGGTGTTAAAACAGAGTTGTTCCTAGGCCAGGAATGGAGTGAATGTGTATCAGTGGCTTGGTGTTATCTGTGGTGGCTCGTGGTGTCTCTCATGCTGAGCCTCGTGGTCTGCTCTCCAGCTTGCCCAGGGTGTGCTGGTTCAGGTGTCTCCCTCCCTTGTGAAACGCCAGAAGACTCATTTCCATGACCTGCCCTGTGGTGCCTCCGTGATCCTCGGCAACAACGGCTTCATCTGGATCTACCCAACCCCAGAGCAGAAGGATGACGAGGCTGGAGGCTACACTGCCAACTTGGAGGTGAGTCCAGGCAACGTGAGTCCTCTCCTACCAGTGATGGTTTTTAGTCTGACACAGTCAGAGGCACCTGAGTAACCTGAGGCTGTCAGGATCCTGTGTTAGGTGCACATCAAGGCTTTTCTTCCTTGCATTATTTCCCTGTGCATTCATCCCTTTTCCTCTGTCCTTCCTCAGCCAGTTCCCTTGTCTGACCGGGAGGTGATCTCACGGCTCCGAAACTGCATCATGGCTCTGGTTACTCACAAGATTATGCTCTTTGACACCAGCATCCTGTATTGCTATGAAGCATCCCTTCCTCATCAGGTACAGGAACCAGTAGTGTTTATTCCACACTGAGGGCAGGGAACAGAAAGGCTGCATCAGTTGCTGCTGAAGTCAGAGTTTCCTTTTAATTTACCAAAGCATCCTTTAGTAAGTGACAGCATAAACTCTCCTCTTCTGCACAACATAAGTTGCCTTGCACAGTTTCAGAGATAGTTTGAAAGGTTCTGCCTCTGGCAAAGTCTAACTATTCCTAAAGAGATCAGTCCCTTTTTTGAGAGATGTTGTGTGTCCCTCGCTGGGATTATGGACCCTTTAATTCCTGTGAAAACAGTATTAAATTTGGCATTGTATGAGGGTACAGTGCATTTTATGAAGCAATGAAAAAGTAAATGTCATGTATTGTACAGAGAGCAGGCTCATGTCTGTATCCACATCCTGCACTGCTGGAAGGCTGCCTCCGTTTTCCCTCTTGCTGTACAGCTTTTCACTGTGATTCCTGCCAGCACTATTGCAGGCAATTCTCTTCCCATAAATAAATGAGATCTGAATTCTGCTTTCATTCTCAATGAGGAGTTAATTATGCCTCAGCCCCTCTGCCATAGATCTTTTTTCACCACAACCCTCTAAACTCCCTTGCTGATTGCTACTGTGTGTCAGGGACCTTTGTCTCCCCACTGAGTGCAGAAGTAGTTGTAGATTCCTGGTGCTCATATTGCTCTTCTTTCCACTGCAGATCAAGGACATTCTCAAGCCAGAGGTGACAGAGGAGATCGTTCTGGAAGCTCGACAGAGGTTGCTGGATTCAGAGGGATAGGATAGGGCACATGGCCAGAAGCAGTCATTTGAAATCCCAGCATGGCAGCTTTGATTCTCAGTATTATATGGGGTTTTTTTCAGTGTTCTAGTTCCCAACATTCATTCCACACTTCAGAAACCACCAAAATTCCTCACTCCTAGGATATCTCCTGTGTCCTTTTAGTATAAAGTAGTACTTAAGTACAATAGCCTTTTAGTGCAACGGCCTGAAAAATTGATATCTGACCTTTATAAAGATCAGATGCAACTGGGACCTGTCTCCTAGCACCTGTTGCTGTGTCTAGTGCCCCAGAATTTTGTGCAAAATGACAGAGAGGAAGGCATTTGTTTTGTGATGTTTCTCTCTCCCCAGAAGATGATTTGGCTTTTAATTTACTTGTGATACAGATCTGCCAGTCTGTCCCCTGACTGAGAGCTCTCATTTTTAAGAATGTAAACCTAGGCACATGTGTTTAGAGAACAGGAGTATCCACAGCCTTGCTAACCACAGTTTGGGTCTGGCTGTTCATGACTTGAATGTCTCAGGGGTATGAGATGGGATGTGGCTGTCTCTGTCCATGTGAGCCAGGAGCTCTGGACAAGCAGTGTCCTGGTTTGTGTATATCCTGCTGGTTTTTTTTGGTTTTTTTTTTTTTTTTTTATGCCTGAGAGGTGAGCTCCTCTTCTGAGGAGCCACCAGTATGGTTTTGTATTAAGTATTTTACATTTCAATAAATTTTTTGAAACAAATCAGTCCTTCAGCAGTGTGTGCATTGGCTTGTTTTTAGCCTAGCTTGAGAGCTGTGGCTGGCTCAAGTTTCCTTGTGCTAGGACACTTGCAATGGTTCCACTGTCTTATCTCCCCTTCAGCTGCTGCCCTTCATCCCAGCAGGACTTGACCTTCCTCTTCAGCCCTTACAGGGTTCCTCTGTAAGGATTGCCTGGTGTTCACAGTGGCTTTCCAAGCACTGCCTCCCTGTAGGATCCCTTGGAGGGGTGAGTCAAGCAGAGGTGACTGGGGGATGACAGGGAGCCCAGTATGACACTGGTAAAGATCTTCAGGCCAGTGGTTAGAGGTGGACACGTTGAGCCAGGTGTTGGCAGGCAGTCAGTCACGTTCTCTGTGAAGAATGTGATGCTTTCCTTGGAGAATCCTCTCAGCTCCAGGTGCTGTATTAGAGCTGGTTTATTATATATGTATTCTATTTGTATTGCAAATACATCCTTGCACCACAGCACTGTAACTCTTAAAAAGGATGATAAAACATCTGTCCCAACTATCCCTGAATCCAAATGCACGTTGCAAATTCGCATTCTTGCCTCAGGCACACTGGAAAATTCTTTCCTCGGTGTTTTCCTGGGAGCTGGCAATTCCCTTGTTGCTGTCCCTGCAGCTCGGGCCGCTTTCCCTGTGGTCCCGAGCAGGCACTAGATGGCACCTTTGGATCGCGTTTGTGGCGCTTCCCTTCTGCAGCAGCTCCGCCTCGCTGTCCTGCCAAACAGCAGGGCCTGGGCGGCTGCCACCAGCGCTGCTGCCCAGATCCTAAAGCACAATGGGGCTAAGGACAAGCAAGGACATGGCTAATCCGTGCTGCTGCTGCACAACTGCCCGTGCTGCCTCTGAAAATAGTACTGAACTTGTTGGGGGTGTCACTGGAATGCTCCACACAAGGCCTGGGAATTGTTGTTTTTGAGTTTTAAGAGGATTTCCTAGTAAGTGTTGTAACTATCACATCCTCAAGATGACTGAGGAAATTTGAAAACCAAGGTTGGATGGTGACACTTTCAGGTCTCCATGAGGCTGCTGGTAGCCACATAACACACACCTCCATGGACAAAACTGGTTCAAAAAGCCTAAAAAAGCTTTAGAGCTTTAGCAGTCTGCATCTTTCACTTAGAAAAGTACTTTTTTTCCCCCCTCACCCAATGCTGTAGTTTAGCAGCTGTTTATCTTATTACCACAGTGGAAATTCAGGGATTTCTGCTAAAAAACAACTCAAGATCTGGACTGCTTCAACTCTGAGCTTTCTGATTCCTCCTGCTTGCTGCAGGATTCCTGATATTTTGCATTAATGATGAGTTAAATGGAGGAGGCATGTGACTCATCCAGTTCCCTTACTCCTGATTACCTGGCACTTTTGTTTTTAAACCCAGGAACACCAACTGGTGAGGTTTGGTTGTAGATCTTTCCTGATGGGAGGGAATCAAAGGTCTCAATATTTTCCCCAGTGACCATGAAGGGTAATTATTGATCTTTCCACATTCAGCCAGTGCTGTGCCAAGACCTAAATTCTGTAACAAGGCTTTAGCAAGGTCATTGCTGGCAGTTCCCATCCAGCACAGCTCTGCAAACCAGCAGGCAACAACAAGCCAGCAACAGGCATTAAAACAGCTCAGACCAATCTGATTTCTTTGCTCACCAGAGTCTGACACTAAAGCAGCTGTAGCACCTCCTGTGCTGCCTCCTCCAGGGTTAATACACGGTGCAGCTGTGCTCAGAAGTGGGGTTGGTAACTAGTTCCCTTGCTGTGAGTGTTGTCTGTAGGAATAAGAACACAACATCACTCATCTGCAAAAAGAATTTTCTTGTTTCTTGGTGCCAGTGTTCATGTTCTAATAGCAAGAATTCCTTTACTCCTAGGAATAACCACTGAGATTTTAAATTTGTGCTAATGGGTTATTAATCCAATTACTGCTGCTTATTGCATTACTTCTGTACTATCCATGCAGTTTTGCTGTTCAGCTGAGAGTGGTACAAATAAAAAGCTTTGCACAGACCTGAGAAGAGACTGAAATCCCACTGAGATTTGAGACATCTTGAAATGGTTCTCTCAGGTTCCTGAGGACTATTAATTAGCATGCTAAGTTTTATTATTTGGTGAAGAGGTTGAGTTTTTAAGATATTGTTATGGAGAAAATGTCACTGCAGCTGTTGGGTGAGAACCCACACTTAATGGGAGGTAAACAAAAAGTGCTGAAGTATCTGCTAGGAAAAAAATAAATGGTAGTATGTACATGGACTTGATTAAAAAAAAAAACACTCTGAAGCTTTTTTTTTTTAACTTATTCTGTATTCACACAACTTTTCCATCTCTAACAATTCTGAATTTCTTCTTATTTTCTTCTCTAACAATTTCTGAATCTATTGGGCAGCTTTCAAGTTTAACAGGAGAGTCATGTTCACAAAAACTGGCAGCAGGGCTGGAGGCAGAACATGTAGTGTCCTTCAGGAAGGGGAAGGCAGGTATCTCACCATGACATTTGGGAGTGACCAGCTGACTCATCTGCCTCTGTATTGTCCCAGATTAACTACAGCAGTGCTCTGGGAAACAGGAAATGCTTTTGGAGAAACTGCTGAGTGGAAAGAGGCTGGGAAATGCTGGCAAAGGACCTGCCCCACTTTGCTGCTTATGATTGCACAGCATCAGAAGGAGTAACTGCCTGTCGGCCTCAATGATAAACTCACCTGGTGTGTTAAATAAAAAGTGCATTCCTCTGCACAGATCTCAGGCAAGCCAGGAAGAGCACATTTACAGCCTGTACTGTCCACAGCACAGCCCTGAAGTGTTCAAGGACAGGTTAGATAGGGCTTGGAGCAGCCTGGAAGATGTCCCTGCCTGTGGCAGGGGGGTGGAACATGATGGTCTTTGGGGTCCCTTCCAACCCAAACAGTTCTGTGATTCTATTGCATATTTGGAATGACTTTTGCTTAATTTGGTGAAGATTTTTCTGACTATTGTGGACCCATGGTTGTCTTCAGGAGTTTACTCTGCTTCAGCCCTGCCATGGTAGGAGAGATTATCCAGGATGCTGCAGTCAGACCCAGAAGAGAGTATCTTTTAACAGTGAAGAATGGTTGGTATTGGGTTTTGTATCAAATTCTCTTGGGCTGCTTGGCCTGTGCTGACAGCTTCATTTCCTCCCTTTCCTCCAATCCGTGGGAGCCCAGAGGGGGTTACATCACCTTGGTGAGAAGCTGATCTCCATTACTGAGATAAACCTGGAGGAATTCCACAGAGTTCAACAGATGTGACCCTGGATTTGTCTCAGCACGAGAATTTCTCTCTCCTGTGTGGGTGTGTGCGCAGCATAACCAGTCTCAGTACCTGCAAACTGAGTGATTGATGGAGAAATCCAATAGAAATGGTTTGAGCTCAGTCTCCTGACTAAGAATTAGTGATGTAGGAGCAGCCTGGCACAGCAGAGATGGAGGATCCCGCAGGGCTGTATGAAGTGCTCCATTTTGGATGCTATTGTTAGAAGATGAAAAATGCAGGTCTGCCAGAGACCTTGAATATGGCATAGGAGACATGGAGTGTGTTTGTGGATTTGTCACAAGGGAGGAGTCAGTATAAACAAGCTGCTCTGTGTCCAGATGGTTGCCCTGAGCAGGAGGCTACAGCACAGAATTGCAATTGTGTGTTCTCCTCTTGTCAAGTGGGAGCAACCACAGACCTTTGACCAAAACACCCTGACCTCAAGCTGCTGCCTTGACCTTCTTTATCCCCAAGGTGAACTGGAGAATGTATGAAAAACTAAATATCTTCAGCACCATGGTCTGCTCTTTAGCTCAGGGAGCGCTCAGCACCTGCTGAAGAATTTGGCGGTTTAACTCCATCTTTGTACCAAATGGTGCACAAAAATAGGTCAATAAAATATTTTTTCAATTGTCACTGGCCTCTATGGCTGGTTTTGGTATCTAGTTCTGCATATGCTGAGAGCATTTAAAAGGAAGTGAAGTCCTTCGTGCAAGCAGGGTGACAGATTCCTGGCTGTGCACACAGCTGATCCACTAAGGATCTCTTCCCTGTCCATCTCTGCAAGCATCCAGGGTCCAGAGCTGGCCAGAGTCAGATCTGTGGGAAAACAACTTGGGTGGGCCTTCTAAAGAGGTAAGGGATTTCACACGAGCTTTGTGGGGCCTTTTCACAGTTTTTTTTTCCACAGAATCATAGATTAGTTGGGGTCGGAGGGGATCTCTGGAGATCATCCTGTCCAACCCTCCTGCCAGGGCAGGGTCACCTGGAGCAGGTGACACAGGAATGTGCCCAGGTGGGTTTGGAATGTTTCCAGAGAGGGAAACTCCACACCCTTTCTGGGCACCTATTCCAGAGCTCCGCCACCCTCAACATAAAGAAGTTATTCCTCCTGTTGAGAGGAAATTTTTTATGTTTTAGTTTATGCCCATTGCTCCTCACCCTGTCACCGGGCACCGCTGAAGAGAATCTGGCACCATCCTCGGACACGCCGGGGAGATACTGCCATGGATTGCTGAGATCCCCTCTCATCCTTCCCTTCTCCAGACTGACCCGGCCCAGCTCCGCAGTGTCTCCTCATCAGAGCTGCTCCAGCCCCAAATCCTCTGGGTGCCCCTCACACTCACAGGACCCTCTCCAGCCCCAAATCCTCTGGGTGCCCCTCACACTCACAGGACCCTCTCCAGCCCCAGATCCTCTGGGTGCCCCTCACACTCACAGGACCCTCTCCAGCCCCAAATCCTCTGGGTGCCCCTCACACTCACAGGACCCTCTCCAGCCGCTCCTTGCCCATCTCGCCCTGAGGCGCCCAGCACTGGGCACAGCACCCCAGGTGTGCCTCACCAGGGCCGCCTAAAGGGAGGATCCCCTCCCTCGCCCTGCCGGCCACGCTGCTCAGAGCCTTCCCCGGGAGCCTCCGCCGCCCTTCCCCGCCCGGCCGGTCCCCGGAGCCGGGAGCGGGGCCGGGATCGGGCGGGAGGCGGGGGCGGCGGA